GGGAATTATGTTAAGTCTGTATTCTGATGAACAGCACCAAAATGCAATATTTTTTATTAAGAATACTTATTTATACCATTTGTATACCACATGTACTCATTTCAACAAATGTCATTATAGCTTAAAATATCCTATTCATTGTATTAAACTTACTTAAACTACATGGTTGCCATAGATACCAATGTATATCAATCTCCTCTGGTCACAAAACAATGTGCAATACAAAATAAAGATTCTTCTTCATTTACCACCGTGGCAGATTTTCTTAGTCTATATGAGCCCCTTTTCAGTGTGTCTACTACAGTCAACCAACATCAGTATCCTAATATTTAGTATTTTCATAACGCGACCTTTGGAATAAAGAATAGACATTGTTTACATATTTGTGAAATGTTTGTACAGATGTAGGATCTTAATTTGACCACTATTGTCACAGCAAAATAATCCTGCAGTAACAGGATTTCAACATTTAGTCCATAATGTTGCTTGATCGGCGGTCAGGCTATTAGCGAGCCAAAATTAGGCTACATGAAAAGTGCAATACTGATCATTTAACTGTGTGTTATTGTGGGTTTTCAGTGAATTTATGTAAACTCACGAAGCTCATCTGCATTTCATGCGGTGTAGGAAAATTCTCAGCAAGAAAATAGTGATCCAATTAAGATCCTACATTTGTAGGTCTAGTGTTTCTTGCACAATGTAAGGGTCAGCCAAGTATGTATCATAGAGAGAGCTAGAAGAGTGGTGATCAGAGAGAGGTAAGACTTTTTGAGGTGGTGATCGAGAGAGGGTTAGAAGGTGGTGATTCAGAGATGGTGATCAGAGAGAGGTAGAAGAGTGGTGATCAGAGAGAGGTAGAAGAGTGGTGATCAGAGAGGTAGAAGAGTGGTGATCAGAGAGAGGTAGAAGAGTGGTGATCAGAGAGAGGTGAGAAGGGAGAACAGTATTAAAAGATCCGAGCAGAGATCGTCTCTCGAAACAAGGAGCTTCAAGAGAGTAGCTCAAAGAAGAGAGAGAGGGAGCGATGAAATACGGCGTAGAACGAGAAGAGAGAGAAAAGGGAGAGAAGGCGAGGGGTATACACGAGAGTGAGGTAAGAAGGAGAAAGAGGTGAGAGAACAGAGAAGTAGGACATAGAGACGAGAAGCGAATCAGCTACCATCTCGTATCCTCTATAGATGTGACGGCATCGTAGATCTCTATAGAATCTCTGACCATGCGAATAATCAGAGGAGACGCTAGCCTGAGCTTTCCTACGCAAGAAGTAAATATCGCTAACGATAAGCTAAGAGGTCTGCTCTGCTATCTCCTCTTCATACGATCCCCTTCTCTCCTCTCACGATACTCCCCTGCTCTCCCCTTCCATCTCTCCCTCTCTCATATCCCTCTCTCTTCTCTCCTCTTCTTCTACTCTCCTCTATTCTTCTCTATTTATTTCTCTATGTGAGAGTATAGGCATATGTGCTCACCATGTACAGTATGTGTATGTGTGTGTGTGTGTGTGTGTGTGTGTGTGTGTGTGTGTGTGTGTGTGTGTGTGTGCGCATGCGCATGCGCATGTACATGTACATGTGTCAAACAGACATCCCCATAAAAGCATTTTATGATGACTCTACACATTATCCAGTTCTCCTGTGTATTTAGTTTACGTGTGTGTGTGTGTGTGTGTATGTGTATGACTAGACCCATTGTCTTGTTTCCCTGAGCTCTCTATGGGACAGGTTGTGTCCCAAATGGGGCATTCTATTCCCTACACAGTGCACTACTTTTCATCAGAGCCCCATAGACCCTAGTCACATAATAATAATAATAATATGCCATTTAGCAGACGCTTTTATCCAAAGCGACTTACAGTCATGCGTGCATACATTTTTTGTGTTTGGGTGGTCCCGGGGTACAAACCCACTACCTTGGCATTACAAGCGTTGTGCTCTACGAGCTGAGCTACAGAGGAACACATGTAACATGTAGTGCACTAAATAGGGAATTGGGTGCCACTTGTGACGTAGACTGGGGCTATGAACCAATGAGTCACAAAGACAACCAGCATGCCTGGAGCTCAGAGGAGGTCTCCACTCCAACCCAGATGATCTCTCCACGGACGAGCCTCCATCCTAGGATCCACTGGAGGGGTGGAAGGGTGGAGAAGAGGCTGTGTGTGTGTGTGTGTGTGTGTGTGTGTGTGTGTGTGTGTGTGTGTGTGTGTGTGTGTGTGTGTGTGTGTGTGTGTGTGTGTGTGGATGGGGGGGGGCAAGGGGTGAAGAAAACCTACTGAGTTCTCAGTCCAACCATATGTGTATGAGGGGAGAGTGAACGAGTACGGAGGGGAAGGGTGCATGGATTTGTAATGGAATGAGCCCCTGTGAACCTCTACACTCCTTATCTTTGCTGTTGAACACTCAGTGAGCGCTAGACAACCACTCATAGAACACCCTGGCACACACACACAGACACACACACACACACACACACACACAGGGGACTGTGGTGTTGAAACGTGCGTCTCTGCCGTCCCCTCCTGGCTAACAGAGTGTAGTGAACATGCTGAATCAGTGTTCCTTTTTCTGCACAGGGTGTTGGAGGGAGACTGCTGACTGGCACTTTTCAGAAACGGTGCGATAACAAACCGAATCTAATAGCATAGATAATGTTAAGCTACTGTTAGACTAAAAAACACCACATAATTTCTCATGAAAACGTAGGATGATTGTGCTGAAATGTCGATGAAAAAAAAATACAGGTGGCTGTGTCTAACTCCTTCTGCTCTAAAATTAAATTAAACAGTAGTTAGACTACATCATTCAAGAAGATCGAAATGCATATTTGATTGGGATCAAATGGTTGTCATGCATGCAGCATGGGGTTTCAACCGTAAAAAACGTGAAGAATGATCGTTCACAATTGACAGTGATGATGGCCTAATTTATAATAAGGTAGGCCTAATTTGGTGTTTTAGGATTTTAAAAAAATACAACATTTTTAATTGAGCCACTTATGTGTAAGGATAGGCAATCGTGCAATTTGGATGATACACTGTAAATGTATTCTAAAATTATATTATACAACAGACCAACTTTCATTCAAAACAGATTATGAAATAATAGAAAATGTCGGTTGGTTGCACCTTAATTGGGGAGGACGGGCTCGTGGTAATGGCTGGAGCGAAATGGTGGAATGATATCAAATACATAAAACAAATGGTTTCTGTGTGTTTGATGCCATTCCATTTGCTCCGTTCCAGACATTATTATGAGCCGTTCTCCCCTCAGCAGCCTCCACTGCAATACATATGGTTGAAACTATTTATTTGAATAAGAAATTATACATTTCAATATTTATAGCTACTTTTTAAGTAGCCTTGTGAGCACTGAGAATCCCCTCCTGGATGAAGAGTCTTACTGTCCAATTTTTGTTTTGTGCTTGCTAGGGCTGTCCCGGACTAAAATAAATATTGGTCGACCAAGAGTCGTCTGTTCTTTTTAAACATGTATTTACATGTTTGACTACACTTGAAGAAAAAGTAAAAGTTCTTGACATTTTCCGTATTGACTGACCTTCATGTCTTATAGTAATGATAGACTGTTGTTTCTCTTTGCTTATTTGAGCTGTTCTTGCCATAATATGGACTTGGTATTTTACCAAATAGGGCTATCTTCTGTATACCACCCCTACCTTCTCACACAACTGATTGGCTCAAATGCATTAAGAAGGAAATAAATTCCACAAATTAACTTTGAACAAGGCACACCTGTTAATTGAAATGCATTCCAGGTGACTACCTCATGAAGCTGGTTGAGAGAATGCCAAGAGTGTGCAAAGCTGTCATCAAGGCAAAGGGTGGCTACTTTGAAGAATCTAAAATCTAAAACATATTTTGATTTGTTTAACACTTTTTTGGTTACTACATGATTCCATATGTGTTATTTCATAGTTGTGATATCTATACTATTATTCTACAATGTAGAAAATAGTAAAAATAAAGAAAAACGATGGAATGAGTAGGTGTGTCCAAACTTTTGACTGGTACTGTGTATATATATATATACAGGCCTGTCGCCAGACCTCAGTCTTAAGGGGGGCATATGAAATGCATGGGAGGGCAGGACACAATTGTTATTAGCCTACAGTACATATATTTAATAATAAATTCCCTCAAGTGGGGGGGCACAAGCATTGTTGGGGGCGGGCCCGGCCCCCTATGGCCCGCCCATAGCGACGGGTGTGTATATATATATATAAACACACACCTGCTCGTGGAACAATCGAACGCGCCAATTGAACCCACTGTCCTTGCAGACACCTAAAAACAATTCCCTTCATGTCTCCAATAACACGCCTCAAATATCCCAGTGACTATAGCATCATTATATCTTTATCAATTACGGATAAATTATTTTGGTTATTGTTTCAGTTGTCAGTTTCATTGTATAATAGTTTGAAAAGTTTAGCGCTCTTCCTGGTTTTAGTTCGCCCCATGTTCCTTGAGTTAACAGTTAAAGGGTTTTTTTCTCTGCAGATGCCCGCTGTCTGAAGTATTCGATAGCAACAAACGCGATACAGTGAAAGTACAGAGTAGTTTGTGCATGGTTGCTTTGCGTGTACCAGTTGATTCCTAGAACCTCTTGGTTGGAAGTGATTATTCAACGTGTAACAGCTGATCTTTTTTTTTAGGACGATATCGAATTTCAGCCTACAGTGTTAATTCTGTGTAGCCTATAGCTCGCTCATCGATATCAGAAAGTTTGGGGGCAGTGCAGCGATAGTAGGCTACTACTGTAACATTTGTTAATTCGTCGATGCTACATTGTAACTCGCCAGAACATTTGGAGCTACATTGTAGCTTACGTTTCCTATCGCCTCTAAACTTCGTCTTGTCCGTCGCGTCAAACAATAGAGATATTTGTGAAGTAGGCTAATGCCGCAGCGAGTCTCGGCGAGAACTCAAACTTCCTATTCTTTGCTCAACCACGGACACGGACGAATATCATCAACCCAACAACATGAGAAGTCGAAGCAACTCGGGAGTGAAACTGGACAACTATGCCCGGATAGTGCATCAAACCATACTACGACATCAAGTGAGTGTTGTTCATGTGTTGTCACTTCTGCTAACGCTGTAATTATTTAGGGCCATCCATTCTGACCTCTAAACTAACTGTCTGTCGCGATGGGACATGTCAACTGTTGCACACACCAGCTTGCAGAACATGCATGTTTACATAGTGAGGTCATTGGTTTTAGCGAAAGCTCACAAAAACGTCCCTTTTGAAACTACGTATCTCTCTCTCAGTTCAATTCAAAGTGGCTTTATTGGCATGGGAAACGTTTACATGGCCAAAAGAAGTGAAATAAACAAACAAAACATCAACACTAGAACGATTAGAATTTGACAGTAAATATTGCACTCAAAAAGGCTGAAAAAAAATAGACATTTCAAGTGTTATATTACTAGCTACAGTGCCTTCAGAAAGTGTTCACACCCCTTGACTTTTTCTAAATGTTCTTGTGTTAGTCTGAATTTAAAATAGATTAAATTGAGATTTTTTGTCACTGGCCTACACAGTACTCCATAATGGCAAAGTGGAGATACATTTTTCGAAATTTTAACAGATAAAAATGAAAAGTTGAAATGTCTTGATTCAATAAGTATTCAACCCCTTTTGTTATGGCAAGCCTAAATAAGTTCAGGAGTAAAAATGTGCTTAATAAGTTGCATGGATTCACTCTGTGTACAATAATAGTGTTTAACATGATTATTGAATGACTACCTCATTTCCCACGGGGGGCCAGTATAAAAAAAAAAATGTATTCACTAACTGTAAGTCGCTCTGGATAAGAGCGTCTGCTAAATGACTAAAATGTAAATGTAAATCTCTGTACCCCACACATACAATTCTCTGTAAGGTCCCTCAGTCGAGCAGTGAATGTCAAACACAGATGCAACTACTAAGACCAGGGAGGTTTTCCAATGCCTTGTAAAGATGGACACTTATTGGTAGATGGGTTAAAAAAACAACAAAAAAAACAGACTTTGAATTTAGGGCTGTCCCTGACAACAACAAAAAAAATTGGTCGACCAAGAGTCGTCTGTTCTTTCGACCAATCGATTAGTCAAAATGTTTAAACGTGTATTTTTTCCATATATAGACACACCCTATGTTTGAATAAAATCAAATATATGTAGGTTACTGAGCTTGTCTAAAATGTAAATGTAAATGTTGTCTGTTGCTTTAAGCACTGCAATTAAAAATTATACACACAAATTACTGAAGAGGGCGCCAGAGATCAATATAGCCTCGCCAGAAGAGAAAAACCGGTTCCCTTCTCCCGCTGCTGCTGGCCTTCACAGATTCTGCCTTTAAGCTCCTGAAGTTGCCTGTAATAGGTTACACCAGTGGTCAGCAACCTTTTCCATTTGGAGTGCCAAGTTATCGTACCATTTCTACTGATCTGCTGTGCCAGTTATGATTTTTCATATGCACATTTTCGTGGAACAGTTTCATTTCATTTATAATAAAGTCTTCATATCTCAAAATCAATGTCATGTGGTTAATCAAAATTCTATCTAAATTAAAATGATACAATTCTAAAAGTTACTTCTATTGCCAACTATGTAAAAATAACCTACATAAAGCCAACAAATAAAAACATTGCAGCCTGCAGGTAGAAAATATCCTGATTAAAAATAAATATTGTATAAATCACATTTGCTACGCATGGCCTGTCTGCAAGGAACTTGAAACATTGTATCAACTATTAACTTGGTCCTCCCTGGAAGCTCCTGCTAGCAAACTTGCAACATTGTAAAACATATTCTGGGCCCTCAGTGTTTCCAGCTCCAATGAGCTCCGGACAGACACAGCTGTAGGCTATTTGCACAAGAGATAAGAAGTAATCAGGTCTGCCTATTTTATGTTTTTTAAGTTTTCACCGGGTCAGAGCATGACATTTTTCCCCCTTTCATGCTGTGGTTATCGAAAGGGAGAGAGCTGGAAATATTTTTCAAATAGGCTACGTTGAGGAATTATTGTAATTCTCAATGGATGTAAAAACAGACTTTGTTTACTTGCTGTTTGAGGTGAAGAAAAAATTACTTTGAGAAGCTCCACAGTGGTGGTGAGTTAAGACAATCAGAAATCGTATCCAAATGGGCACATTTATAAGCCTACATTTGTGCGTAGGCCAGGTAGCCTAGGCCTACTTCTATGTGTAATCAGGTGCGTGTCCTTACTCAAGATTGACAGGAGCGCTCCAAACAAAAGACAATGCTTAAATTGACGACTCGTTAATGGAATGAAATAAACCAACACTTTTTTTCTCACAAGTGTAGCCTAGGTTGTGGGCTCTACAAACAACGTGTACACTCCTACAATGACAACGGTAAGGCGGTAATAATAATAATAATAATAATATATTTAATTCATTAACAGAAATTACAGTAACAAAACAAACATTGTAGATGATAAATGATGGTAATTAAGGTAAATGTACTACTGGGGATACTGGTGTGCCTCCACAATGGATTAGTCCACTGAGACATGCGTGGATTAGTCCACTGAGACAGGCGTGAATCAGACAGGTATATTTGCCACTGCTCGACAAAAAAAAATCTTGGTCGACCAAACAATCGACCAGTCAACTAAATGGGGTCAGCCCTAATTGAATATCCCTTTGAGCAGGGTGAAGTTATTAATTACTTATTGGATGGTGTATCAATACACCCTGTCAATTCAAAGATACAGGTATCCTTCCTAACTCAGGAATTGGTGACTTTAAAACAGTTACAGAGTTTAATGGCTGTGATGGGAGATAACTGAGAATGGATCAACAACATTGTAGTTACACCACAATACTAACCTAATTGACAGTGAAAAGAAGGAAGCCTGTAGAGAATGAACAAATATTCCAAAACATGCTTCCTGTTTGCGACAAGGCACTAAAGTAATACTGCAAAAAATTTGGCAAAGCAATTAACTTTTTGTCCTGAATACAAAGGGTGTTTCTCAATATGTAACTACCGTTCTCCACACTCTCATGCTTCTCTTGAGTACGTTCTTGTGAGGACGAGAGTGTGGAGAACACATAAAACATTACATTTGAGAAGCACTCCCCCTACTGTATTAACTCACGCTGCATCTCCCCATTCATTTAACCTTCTTCCAGCCAGGACAATGGCAACAATAGACGAAACAAGATATACACAAAGCAAATGTTTTACTTCATAATTATCAGCTAGATATATGTGAATCGTAATAACCTAGCTAGCTAGCCAGCTACAGTGAGGGAAAAAAGTATTTGATCCCCTGCTGATTTTGTACGTTTGCCCACTGACAAAGAAATGATCAGTCTATAATTTTAATGGTAGGTTTATTTGAACAGTGAGAGACAGAATAACAACAAAAAAATCCAGAAAAACACATGTAAAAAATGTTATAAATTGATTTGCATTTTAATGAGGGAAATAAGTATTTGATACCCTCTCAATCAGAAAGATTTCTGGCTCCCAGGTGTCTTTTATACAGGTAACGAGCTGAGATTAGGAGCACACTCTTAAAGGGAGTGCTCCTAATCTCAGCTTGTTACCTGTATAAAAGACACCTGTCCACAGAAGCAATCAATCAATCAGATTTTTTTATTTATTTTTATTTCACCTTTATTTAACCAGGTAAGCCAGTTGAGAACAAGTTCTCATTTACAACTGCGACCTGGCCAAGATAAAGCAAAGTAGTGCAATAAAAACAACAGAGTTACATATGGGGTAAAAAAAAACATAAAGTCAGAAAATACAACAGAAAATATATATACAGTGTGTGCAAATGTAGCAAGTTATGGAGGTAAGGCAATAAATAGGCTATAGTGCAGAATAATTACAATAGTATTAACACTGGAATGCTAGATGTGCAAGAGATTATGTGCAAATAGAGATACTGGGGTGCAAAAGAGCAAAATAAATAATATAGGGATGAGGTAGTTGGGTGGGCTAATTTCGGATGGGCTGTGTACAGGTGCAGTGATCGGTAAGGTGCTCTGACAACTGATGCTTAAAGTTATTAAGGGAGATAAGAGTCTCCAGCTTCAGAGATTTTTGCAATTCGTTCCAGTCATTGGCAGCAGAGAACTGGAAGGAATGGCGGCCAAAGGAGGTGTTGGCTTTGGGAATGACCAGTGAGATATACCTGCTGGAGCGTAGACTACGGGTGGGTGCTGCTATGGTGACCAATGAGCTAAGATAAGGCGGGGATTTGCCTAGCAGTGATTTATAGATGGCCTGGAGCCAGTGGGTTTGACGACGAACATGTAGTGAGGACCAGCCAACAAGAGCGTACAGGTCACAGTGGTGGGTAGTGTATGGGGCTTTGGAGACAAAACGGATGGCACTGTGATAGACTACATCCAATTTGCTGAGTAGAGTGTTGGAGGCTATTTTGTAAATGACATCGCCGAAGTCAAGGATCGGTAGGATAGTCAGTTTTACGAGGGCATGTTTGGCAGCATGAGTGAAGGAGGCTTTATTGCGAAATAGGAAGCCGATTCTAGATTTAACTTTGGATTGGAGATTCTTTATGTGAGTCTGGAAGTTGAGTTTACAGTCTAACCAGACACCTAGGTATTTGTAGTTGTCCACATACTCTAGGTCAGACCCGTCGAGAGTGGTGATTCTAGTCGGGTGGGCGGGTGCCAGCAGCGTTCGATTGAAAAGCATGCATTTAGTTTTACTAGTGTTTAAGAGCAGTTGGAGGCTACTGAAGGATTGTTGTATGGCATTGAAGCTCGTTTGGAGGTTAGTTAACACAGTGTCCAATGAAGGGCCAGATGTATACAAAATGGTGTCGTCTGCGTAGAGGTGGATCAGAGAGTCACCAGCAGCAAGAGCGACATCATTGATATACACGGAGAAAAGTGTCGGCCCAAGAATTGAACCCTGTGGCACCCCCATAGAGACTGCCATAGGTCCAGACAACAGGCCCTCCGATTTGACACACTGAACTCTATCTGAGAAGTAGTTGGTGAACCAGGCGAGGCAGTCATTTGAGAAACCAAGGCCAAAGACCTAAAGATTCCCAACTCTCCACCATGGCCAAGACCAAAGAGCTCTCCAAGGATGTCAGGGACAAGATTGTAGACCTACACAAGGCTGGAATGGGCTACAAGACCATCGCCAAGCAGCTTGGTGAGAAGGTGACAACAGTTGGTGCGATTATTCGCAAATGGAAGAAAGACAAAATAACTGTCAATCTCCCTCAGGCTGGGGCTCCATGCAAGATCTCACCTCGTGGAGTTGCAATGATCATGAGAACGGTGAGGAATCAGCCCAGAACTACACGGGAGGATCTTGTCATTGATCTCAAGGCAGCTGGGACCATAGTCACCAAGAAAACAATTGGTAACGCACTACGACGTGAAGGACTGAAATCCTGCAGCGCCCACAAGGTCCCCCTGCTCAAGAAAGCACATATACAGGCCCATCTGAAGTTTGCCAATGAACATCTGAATGATTCAGAGGAGAACTGGGTGAAAGTGTTGTGGTAGATGAGACCAAAATCGAGCTCTTTGGCATCAACTCAACTCGCCGTGTTTGGAGGAGGAGGAATGCTGCCTATGACCCCAAGAACACCATCCCCACCGTCAAACATGGAGGTGGAAACATTATGCTTTGGGGGTGTTTTTCCGCTAAGGGGACAGGACAACTTCACCGCATCAAAGGGACGATGGATGGGGCCATGTACCATCAAATCTTGGGTGAGAACCTCCTTCCCTCAGCCAGGGCATTGAAAATGGGTCGTGGATGGGTATTCCAGCATGACAATGACCCAAAACACACAGCCAAGACAACAAAGGAGTGGCTCAAGAAGAAGCACATTAAGGTCCTGGAATGGCCTAGCCAGTCTCCAGACCTTAATCCCATAGAAAATCTGTGGAGGGAGCTGAAGGTTCGAGTTGCCAAATGTCAGCCTCGAAACCTTAATGACTTGGAGAAGATCTGCCTAGAGGAGTGGAACAAAATCCCTCCTGAGATGTGTGCAAACTTGGTGGCCAACTACAAGAAACGTCTGACCTCTGTGATTGCCAACAAGGGTTTTGCCACCAAGTACAAAGTCATGTTTTGCAGAGGGGTCAAATACTTATTTCCCTCATTAAAATGCAAATCAATTTATAACATTTTTGACATGCATTTTTCTGGATTTTTTGTTGTTATTCTGTCTCTCACTGTTCAAATAAACCTACCATTAAAAGTATAGACTGATCATGTCTTTATCAGTGGGCAAACATACAAAATCAGCAGGGGATCAAATACTTTTTTCCCTCACTGTAGTTACAGGCAGAAATGACCTAAAACTAATGTTATGCCAGATAGATGTCAATTCTTCGTGGGTAGCTAGCTAACAATTATTTGTGGCCATCTGGCTAGCTAACAGTAGTAGCTAGCCAGTTAGCCCTATTGACTTATTATAGGCTTGCGATCTATGGTGCGTAGGCAGGTAAACATGCCAAAATTAACACAGCATGTATTTATTAACGTATCAAGATAAAATATTGTAGTCAGGCAACATATGAGATGTGAATAGGCAACATTTCATTCCGAAGTGAGTGTATTTTCTCTTGCTTCAGCTCAAATAATGGCCGCCATTGATTTCAAGAAATGTTGTAGTTTCTTACGTGGTTGTGACATTTCTTTGCATACTTTTCATTGAAGCTTTTATCGATGCATGCTTCAAAATATGGACAAACGGAGTACACATTTGAGAAGTCCCCTCCGTGCTCCGTTTCACATACTTTGATTTGGACTCATACGCTGACCCTCCCGTGCTCCAATTTGCGTGCTCTGAGCACGATAGTATGCATTTTGAGAAACACCCGAAGTGTTATGTTTGGGGCAAATTCAACACATTACGGAGTACCACTCTTCATATTTTCATGCATATTGGTGGCTGCATCATGTTATGGGTATGCTTGTAATCGTTAAGGACTGGGGAGTTTTTCAGGATAAAAAAGAAATGGAATGGAGCTAAGCACTGGCAAAATCCTGGAGGAAAAACGGGTTAGGTTTGCTTTCCACCAGACACTGGGAGATGAATTCACCTTTCAGCAGGACAATAACCTAAAACAGAAGGCCAAATCTACACTGGAGTTGCTTACCAAGAAGACAGTGAATGTTCCTTGAAAATCTATGGCAAGACCTGAAAATGATTTTCTAGCAATGATCGACAACCAATTTGACAGATCTTGAAATTTTTTGAAAAGAATGATGGGCAAATGTTGCACAATCCAGGTGTGGAAAGCTCTTAGAGACTTACCCAGAAAGACTCACAGCTATAATCACTGCCAAGGGTGCTTCTACTAAATATTGACACAACAACATGTGGAATAAGTCAAAGGGTATGAATACTTTCTGAAGGCACTGTATGTACAGTGTGTTAGCGATGAGCAAGTAGTTGTAGTACGATTAGTAGGGGAAGATAAATAAACAGATAAATATTGGTGGTATTTACAATGTTATTTTTGCTCCACTGGTTGCCCTTTTCTCATGGCAACGGCCAACAAATCTTGCTGCGGTATTTCGCCTACAGATATGGGAGTTTATCAATGTTTGATTTGTTTTCAAATTCGTTGTGTGATCTGTGGGAAATATGTATCGCTAATGTGGTCATACATGTGGGCAGTGTGCACATTGCCTGTCTTCTCTCGAGAGCCAGGTCTGCCTATGGTGGCCTCTCTCAATAGCAAGGCTATGCACACTGAGTCTGTACATAGTGAAGGATTTTCTTAATTCTGGGTCATTCACAATTTGGGTCATTCACATTTCCCCCAACACCGCTTTCCATGAATTTGTAAAGCAGACCCTCATGCCAAATTGAGTCAAAAGCTTTTTTTTTTAAATCAACAAAGCATGAGAAGACTTTGCTCTGTCACTCTCTCTCTCTCTCTCACTTAGAAACACACACACACACACACAAACACACAAATAGGTATGTAGGGTGGGTAGCACTGCAGTGTGTTGTTGTCTGCAGTGAGGTTGGCTAACTGTCAGAGTATTTCCTCATGGCTCAGGCTGCGTCCCAAATTCCCTGTATAGTGCACTTTTTTGGCTAACTGTCAGAGTAATTCCCTGTATAGTGCACTGTTTTGGCTAACTGTCAGAGTAATTCCCTGTATAGTGCACTGTTTTGGCTAACTGTCAGAGTAATTCCCTGTATAGGTGCACTGTTTTGGCTAACTGTCAGAGTAATTCCCTGTATAGTGCACTGTTTTGGCTAACTGTCAGAGTAATTCCCTGTATAGTGCACTGTTTTGGGCTAACTGTCAGAGTAATTCCCTGTATAGTGCACTGTTTTGGCTAACTGTCAGAGTAATTCCCTGTATAGTGCACTGTTTTGGCTAACTGTCAGAGTAATTCCCTGTATAGTGCACTGTTTTGGCTAACTGTCAGAGTAATTCCCTGTATAGTGCACTGTTTTGGCTAACTGTCAGAGTAATTCCCTGTATAGTGGCACTGTTTTGGCTAACTGTCAGAGTAATTCCCTGTATAGTGCACTGTTTTGGGCTAACTGTGCACTGTTTTGGGCTAACTGTCAGAGTAATTCCCTGTATAGTGCACTGTTTTGGCTAACTGTCAGAGTAATTCCCTGTATAGTGCACTGTTTTGGCTAACTGTCAGAGTAATTCCCTGTATAGTGCACTGTTTTGGCTAACTGTCAGAGTAATTCCCTGTATAGTGCACTGTTTTGGCTAACTGTCAGAGTAATTCCCGTATAGTGCACTGTTTTGGCTAACTGTCAGAGTAATTCCTTTTATAGTGCACTGTTTTGGCTAACTGTCAGAGTAATTCCCTGTATAGTGCACTGTTTTGGCTAACTGTCAGAGTAATTCCTGTATAGTGCACTGTTTTGGCTAACTGTCAGAGTAATTCCCTGTATAGTGCACTGTTTTGGCTAACTGTCAGAGTAATTCCCTGTATAGTGCACTGTTTGGCTAACTGTCAGAGTAATTCCTGTATAGTGCACTGTTTTGGCTAACTGTCAGAGTAATTCCCTGTATAGTGCACTGTTTTGGCTAACTGTCAGAGTAATTCCCTGTATAGTGCACTGTTTTGGCTAACTGTCAGAGTAATTCCCTGTATAGTGCACTGTTTGGCTAACTGTCAGAGTAATTCCCTGTATAGTGCACTGTTTTGGCTAACTGTCAGAGTAATTCCCTGTATAGTGCACTGTTTTGGCTAACTGTCAGAGTAATTCCCTGTATATGTGGCACTGTTTTGGCTAACTGTCAGAGTAATTCCTTAGTAGTGCCTGTTATGGGATGTCAGGTAATTCCCTTTATGTGCACTTGTGGAACAATACACCTATAGCACTGTTTTGCTACTTCTGCTATGTCTCTGTTGTGTCACTTCTCTCTGCTACTTCTGTTGTTCTCTCACTTGTCTTCTGCTCTGTTGTTGGCTACGTCAGTTCCTGTATTGTGTCATCTCTGTTTTTCCAGCTGCTTGGGTTGTGCTCTTGGTCTGTACTAGTTTCCTCTCCGTGTCGTTGTACTTTGGCTCTCCTCTGCTCTCTGTTGTCTCTCTGTCTCTCTCTCTGTTGTCTCTCTCGCTGTCTCTGTTGTGTCTCTCTGTCTCTGTCTGTTGTCTCTCTCTCTCTCTGTTGTCTCTCTCGCTCTGTCTCTCTCTCTCTCTCAATTCAATTTAAGGGGCTTTATTGCCATGGGAAACATATGTTTACATTGCCAAAGCAAGTGAAATAGATAAACAAAAGTGAAATAAACAATAAAAAGTGAACAGTAAATATTACACTCACACAAGTTCCAAAGGAATAGAGACATTTCAAATGTCATATTATGTCTATATACAGTGTTGTAAGGATGTGCAAATAGTTAAAGTACAAAAGGGAAAATAAATAAACAGATACATATAGGTTGTATTTACAGTGGTGTTTGTAATTCACTGATTGCCCTTTTCTTGTGGCAACAGGTCACATCTTGCTGCTGTGATTGCACACTGTGGTATTTCACCCAGTAGATATGGGAGTTTTCGAATTCTTTGTGAGTCTGTGTAATCTGAGGGAAATATGTGTCTCTAATATGGTCATACATTTGGCAGGAGGTTAGGAAGTGCAGCTCAGTTTCCACCTAATTTTGAGGGCAGTGTGCACATAGGCCGACCTGGCTCTCAAGAGAAGACGGGCTATGGCGACCTTTCTCAATAGCAAGGCTATGCTCACTGAGTCTGTACATAGTCAAAGCTTTCCTTAATTTTGGGTCAGTCACAGGGGTCAGGTATAATGCCGCTGTGTACTCTCTGTTTAGGGCCAAATAGCATTCTAGTTTGCTCTGTTCCTTTTCAATTCTTTCCAATGTGTCAAGTAATTCTCTTTTTGTTTTCTCATGATTTGTTTGGGTCTAATTGTGTTGCTGTCCTGGGGCTCTGTGGGGTCTGTTTGTGTTTGTGAACCGAGCCCCAGGACCAGCTTGCTTAGGGGACTCTTCTCCAGGTTCGTCTCTCTGTAGGTGATGGCTTTGTAATGGAAGGTTTGGCAATCACCTCCGTTTAGGTGGTTGTAGAATTTAACGGCTCTTTTCTGGATTTTGATAATTAGCGGGTATCGGCTTAATTCTGCTCTGCATGCATTATTTGGTGTTTTACGTTGTACACAGAGGATGTTTTTGCAGAATTCTGCATGCAGAGTCTCAATTTGGTGTTTGTCCCATTTTGTGAATTCTTCATTGGTGAGCGGACCCCAGACCTCACAACCATAAAGGCCAGTGGGTTCTATAACTGATTTCAAGTATTTTTAGCCTCTGTCTCTATTCTCTCATGTCTTTGATATATGTTTTAAACACTCTGGCTGGCTAAATAGTATTTTCCTCCACTTCTCCTCCTCTCCTCAATGACAACTGATAGCTACCTACAACAAACCAAGGCGATAACTCCATTACAATGCATGGCATAGTGCACACACACACACACACACACACACACATACATACACTCCAATTATACAAAGTGGGTACAGGTCTCCAGCATGACAGGAACAGGAAATACTAGACTTACTGTATGGGTGTTGTCATGACTCCCTCCTTGGTGGGAGTTGCCAGATTAAAGTGACAGATAGCTGACAGATAGCCAGATCCCCTCCCCCCTCCCCTCTCTCCCAGAGGAGAGGGGGGAGTTGTGCCGGTTTTGACACCTTAACACCCGGTCATAAATTGTGTGCCGCAAACGGGTCTTTCTTGCCCTGCAGTATTGGGAAAATAATCTCTTTGTTACAGAGAGAGACTTTTGCCGCCAAAACCTTTTATGTTAATAAAAGTGGACATTGGAACATTATTTCTGACATCCAAATGTTTGGAATGGTCAGTGCTGACCTAAAGAATAATCATGTCATATTGTTTATTATTTTGTGATGTCATTAAGGATGGTATAAAAAAATAACTGTACACATTCTAGTTATCAAGTTTACATCTAAATGTTGGAGAAAATATATTATTAAGTATGAGAGTACTTTTTGGAAGATAGCAATGTGATTTTATTATTCTAATGAGATAATTGTTTTATATAAACTTTTGCCCAGTCAGTAACCACGCCCAAGTGGGCACAGATATTGTGTTGGCGTGATGGAACACCCCCTTTTTACCCGAGTATAAAAGCCTTGGTAATGAAATTTACAAGCAGGCCAGAAAACGTGAGAGTGTTGACTGCACGTTTAAAATGGTTAGACCAGAAATACCAGTCGATTTGAAGCGCGAGCTCACGTTACAAATGGTTGAACCTCTACAAACCAGCCGACGTGCAGCGGGAGCTGAACGTTACAAACGGTTGAACCTCTACAGACCAGCCGACGTGCAGCGGGAGCTGAACGTTACAAACGGTTGAACCTCTACAGACCAGCCGACGTGCAGCGGGAGCTGAACGTTACAAATGGTTGAACCTCTACAGACCAGCCGACGTGCAGCGGGAGCTGAACGTTACAAATGGTTGACACACTAAGAACAGGAAACGTGAGACGTTAGTCCACACGTTTGAAATGGTGAGAAACTCTGAAACTCTCAATCTCTACACAAGAAGAAGAAACTCACTAGACCGTAGCGTTACCAGTCTGCAGCTGGCATGTAAAGTAGACTAGAACTTTCCCTAAAGACACGAGATCTCAGTCTGCAGCTGGCATGTAAAGTAGCCTAGAACTTCCACTAAAGACACGAGTTGGGAAGGACAATCCCATCTCAGACAGTCGTTGGTGCATCTGAAGTATCTGTCAACAGAGAGACGATGGAGAAGACATTGCATTTATTACCCAAACGGGCGGTGGTTAGGGTGTTAAGTATTCTGATTACTGTGAGCGTAGTTTCCGAATGTTTGTACGATAAGTTTGACTCTCTTTGTCCCTCTCTCCCTCCTTCTATTGACCCCTCCCCTTTTTGATAACCAAGCAGTCGTGCTGCTGTTAGTCTGCTAGGGACTTTTCTCATGTATTAAGTATGTATGTATTCTGTGTTATTATTTAGTTAGCTAGTAAATAAATAATTAAGCCAATTTGTGTATTGCTGACTCGTAAGTAAGGTGAGGATTCTTGCAGGTTCAAGGATTATGCGACGTTCAGAATGAGACTGATATGGGGTAATGATTTAATAAGTGACTATAAGATAGATATCTTCTAAGAGTTTAAATCGGGAGATGGTAACTTGTTAAACAACTTCTTCCGTGGTGCCACAAATTCCTAATGAGTTAATTGTTACATGATTAATTTAACCGGGTAACAATTAAACATAGTTGATTCAATAAATAACAGTCATCACATTAATGAAAGTCACGTCACGACAGTGTACACACACACATAGGGCTGGCACAATTATCGTATAATCGTGTAACCGAGAATTATGGACAATAACCGTGAACAAAAAATTATTGTCATAATCATCTTAATACATTCATTTTAGGAGAAGTGCAAGTAGATGTAGTTGACCCTTTTTACATGGTGGGTAAAATTGCTAATAATTTTACAACCCGAACGAACAGCACAGTCGGGATTGAGAAATTTCATTTCCAAAAGTTACAAGTGGTCAAAACCATTTGTTTTTGAGACTGGGGTGTCACCAAAATGTGTTGTATGCATTAGGTATGTCCTAACTTTCAAAGATGCATTTTTCAGAAAAAATGACAATTATGGCAATAACCGTGGCCGTTTGCATGACAAAGAATTGTTACCCAAAATTCCATAATCATCACAGCCCCACACACACGCACACTAATAGATATAGCCTAACTGATAAAGATGAGATATAATCATAGTAAATGCACATTGTGTCAAAGTGGGGAAGTACTGTAGCACTGCGGTTGTTAAAACCTCACAGAGGAAGACAAAGTACAGTGAGGAAACCTGCCTTCATGTTGAAACAGACACCAACTGTGGTTACATGTAAAGTCAGTCTCCTATCTGTCAGGCTGCAGACAGGTTAACTGTGGAGCACAAAAAAACAACAAGAGAACCGGATGAGCTTATTTTTTTTCTCGGAAGTTCACCCTAACATCCATCAAATAGTCCCCAGTGATCTGTTTGTGACTTGCTTCAAACTATCACAAATAGTCAAAATTCGCAAGTACTTTGTTAACATTAAAACATTATTTTTTAAAGTTTGGAAAGACATAACGGCCCTTGTGTGCACTGCTGGTTAGGGCTGGGCGATATGGCCTAAAAATCATATCTCCATTTTTTTTTTTTTTACATATGGGCAATTCACAATATCTCATATCTCGATTTGAAACAAAAATGTTTTCTCGAAATTAGCTTTGTTGTACAATTTAAACGTAAAATACACTGCATTTCAAACAGTCAGCAATAATCTAATGAATTCAGGGCTTGTAAAATTATACCTAGGCTAAATATAAGCCTTCCTCAATCATAAGACACACTAATAATGTAATTATTTTATCAAAATAATTAAACCTGCTTTTTTGCAATAATCACTGATCTGGCTTTCAAGCCTGCCTATAGAAATGGCATTTTTGTTACAACTGTAACCAGAACCATGCATAATGCACATTCACTAATAATCACTAACTTCTTGTAGCAGGCATAACAGAAAATTAACACTGGTCTCATCAACAATCTCTCAAGCACAATGCTACACGCAACAGAAACTGAGCATTCATTTTCCATCTTTGTTGTTGTGAGTGGCAGGGGGAGGAGCTTGGTATGTGGAGGAGGGGCTTGGCACGTGGGGGAGGAGCTTGGCACGTGGGGGAGGAGCTTTGTGTGTGTGTGTGTGTGAATGGGAAGGTGCACAGTCACAGCAGAAGGAGCGACGGAGACGAGACCAAAAAGACAACATGAGAACAAGTGATTCTTTCCATACATGCATTTGCATATCTTGCTAAAACATACATTTGAAATAATTCGATATATCGCCCAGCCCTGCTGCTGGTAATACTGGATACCCCGGTATGGTACAGGAACGGTATGAAGGAATGAACATCTGGACACTTCCCAACCCTAATACACTATAGGGACCACGCCTAAAATATGGCCATATCTCATTGACCTCTCCCCTCTAACCTCTGACCTCTCGCCAAGATCCTATAACAGGTCTCCTCCCGGCTATTGGAGATCAGCCAGACACCCGACCTTTAACCCCTGACCTCTAACCCTTAATCCTGACAATACTTTACTTTCTTTTACTTTCTCCTCTGTAGGACCCTGTCACTAGTCTCCTCCAGGCCAGTGGAGAGCAGCGCTAACATCTAACCCCTGACCTCTACTCCCAAGGACCCAGTCACAGGTCTCCTCCAGGCCAGTGGAGAGCAGCGCTAACACCTAACGTCTAACCCCTGACCTCTACTCCCAAGGACCCAGTCACAGGTCTCCTCCAGGCCAGTGGAGAGCAACGCTAACACCTAACATCTAACCCCTGACCTCTACTCCCAAGGACCCAGTCACAGGTCTCCTCCAGGCCAGTGGAGAGCAGCGCTAACACCTAACGTCTAACCCCTGACCTCTACTCCCAAGGACCCAGTCACAGGTCTCCTCCAGGCCAGTGGAGAGCAACGCTAACCCCTAACGTCTAACCCCTGACCTCTCTACTCCCAAGGACCCAGTCACAGGTCTCCTACCAGCCAGTGGAGAGCAGCGCTAACACCTAACGTCTAACCCCTGACCTCTCTCCTCTCTACTCCCAAGGACCCAGTCACAGGTCTCCTCCAGGCCAGTGGAGAGCAGCGCTAACACCTAACGTCTAACCCCTGACCTCTCTACTCCCAAGGACCCAGTCACAGGTCTCCTACCAGCCAGTGGAGAGCAACGCTAACCCCTAACGTCTAACCCCTGACCTCTCTACTCCCAAGGACCCAGTCACAGGTCTCCTACCAGCCAGTGGAGAGCAGCGCTAACCCCTAACGTCTAACCCCTGACCTCTACTCCCAAGGACCCAGTCACAGGTCTCCTACCAGCCAGTGGAGAGCAACGCTAACCCCTAACGTCTAACCCCTGACCTCTCTCCTCTCTCCTCCCCAGGACCCAGTCACAGGTCTCCTACCAGCCAGTGGAGATCAGCCTGATGCCTGGGTGAGAGACAACGTGTACAGTATCCTGTCTGTCTGGGCTCTCAGTCTGGCCTACAGGAAGAATGCAGACAGAGATGAAGACAAGGCTAAGGCCTATGAACTGGAACAGGTACACTGTGTGTGTGTGTGTGTGTGTTGAACTGGAATAGGTACACTGTAGGTGTGGGTGTGTGTGTGTGTGTGTGTGTGCGCGTATGGGATGAGCACGTCGTCTACTGATTGAGAGTGGTGTGTGTGTGTTTGTGTCCCAGGCTGTGAAGCCTTAGAAGTCTTGTGTTTCTCTTCCTGGCCAGCGAGAAAAGGGGATGAAAAGGTCATAGTTGAATCTGTCTGTTTATGTTAATCCTCTGGTCTGTTTGCCTGCGATTGTGAGGTGTATGGCTGCTTGTTGAATTGATATGAATCGAGAGGATATAGAGAAGAGTACAGAGCTGAGAGAGAGAGCGAAGACACAAGTCTATCTCTCAACCCTACCCCCCCCTCCTGCTCATTTCTCTCCTCTCATCCTTTTCTTCTCTATCCCCTCTCTCGTTCTCTCTCTCTCTCTTCCTGGTTCTCTCTTATTCGCTCTCTCTCACTCTATCTTCCTCCCACTCTTGATCTATTTTCTCCTTTCCTCTACTCTTCATCTCTCTAATTGTGAATTCGGTTTTCATGTATAATGAGCAGTAGGACAGTTCTCTGAGTTAATCTTCTCTTCCAAAATCCCGTAAACCTGTCTTTCCTTGATACCTCTCTGCTTCTATCCATGTTCCTCTCTTCTCCTTCTTCTCTCTGTTCATCTCTCTTCCTTTCTCTCTTTCTCTGTCTGTCTCTCTCGGTCTCTCTCCTCTCTTCTTGCTCTCTGCTATCGTTTCGATTGCTTCTCTCTTCTTCTCTCTCTCTCTCTCTGTCTGTCTCTCCTGTTCTCTGTCTCTGTCCTGTTCTGCTCTCTGTCTCTTCTCTGTCTCTGTCTCTCTCTATGTTCTCTCTAGTTCTGTATCTCTGTCTCTATCCTGTCTCTTCTCGCTCTATGTCTCTCCTCTGCATCTCTCTCCTGCCTCTTCTCTGCCTCCTCTCTCTCTCTCTCTCTCTTCTCTCATCCTCTCTGTTCTCTCTCTCTTCTACTACTCTCTCTCTCTCTCTCTCTCTCAGCTGGACAAGGTGGAGAAGTTTAAGTACAGTAAGAGCACCATGGACTGCCTCCATGCTAAGTACAACACCAGGACCTGTGCTGCTGTGGTGGAGGACGATCAGTGGGGACACCTCCAAGTGGACGCTACCTCTCTGTTCCTGCTGTTCCTCGCCCAGATGACTGCCTCAGGTAGAGGGGACACTCTAGGAAGCTTTATAAAGTCTTCATATGTTTGTCTTCTAGGACTGGGGGGGTGGGGGGGGGGGGGGGGTATATGATCAACTTCCACAACTCACTTAGGCCCCACGTTTTTGAGTCTCCAGTTGTTGCAGTAACTAGAACTCTTATCAGATGTTTTTTTGTGTGTTTTTTTTACATTGTTTACAATTCTTGGAACTCGTATTTACCCATGTTTCATGTGTCTGTCCTGCAGGACTCCATATCGTCTACACTCAGGATGAGGTGGATGTGGTACAGAATCTCATGTTTTACATCGAGGCAGCTTACAAAGTGGCTGTAAGTTTCTGTTGAAATTCAAAGACGTGAATAAGCGAACCGTGGATGTTGTAGCATCTATGTAGTGCTAATATAGACATTATGAATGCTCTATACCAGCCATTCTTAAAGTACGGGTCAACATATGGGAGTACTATCTCTCATAGTAGTAGATGTGAGTTTCTCTTTCAAACAATTCCCTTGTACACAGATATAATAGCTAGAAAGCTAACGTTAGCCAAAACAAACTAGCTAGCTACTGATAGTGCAACCATAAGTAACAGTACATATGAAGATGAAAAATTATCAGCCTATTGTACATCTTACTGTAGATATGATTGTTGAAAACAAGTCTAGGTTGGAACTGTTGCTGTTAAAATACAAGTAATAATTTTTATTCTGAACTGGAATAAACTGATTGAAGCAAGATGCTTTTTGAGGCAAACCCACTCACACAGTTCTGGGTTGCTCATCTACAGCAGGAAGCGGTCTCCTGCCTGGCTGAGAAAGCAGTAGATGTTCTGATCCAGTTTGGCACCACATACCTATGCCAGTCAGGGTTCTCAACTCTGGTGTACTTAAAAAAACAAGTACAGAAACAGACTCCATGCTGAGCATGACCTCAGGGTTGCACTGTCAAAAACGGAGCTCAGAATAGACATGCTTGTTGAAGCTTCAACCAGCCACACACCTCTCATTAGGACTGTGTGTGTGTTTTCTGGTCTACATCTGTGTGATGTGATCAATCAGTTTATTCTAGTTCAGAATGAAAATGATTTATTGTATTTTAACATCAACAGTTCCAACCTAGACAGATATGTAAAAGTGTTTTTAATGGGGAAAAATGAACATGAATATACACTACCGTTCAAAAGTTTGGGGTCACTTAGAAATGTCCTTGTTTTCGAAAGAAAAGCAAGTGTGTTCCAATGGCACGTTGTTTGCTAATCCAAGTTTATCATTTTAAAAGGCTAATTGATCATTAGAAAACCCTTTTGCAATTATGTTAGCACAGCTGAAAACTGTTGTGCTGATTAAAGAAGCAATAAAACTGGCCTTCTTGAGACTAGTTGAGTATCTGGAGCATCAGCAATTGTGGGTTCGATTACAGGCTCAAAATGGCCAGAAACAAATAACTTTCTTCTGAAACTCATCAGTCTATTCTTGTTCTGAGAAATGAAGGCTATTCCATGCGATAAATTGCCAAGAAACTGAAGATCTCGTACAACGTTGTGTACTACTCCCTTCACAGAACAGAGCAAACTGGCTCTAACCAGAATAGAAAGAGGAGTGGGAGGCCCCGGTGCAAAATTGAGCAAGAGGACAAATACATTAGTGTCTAGTTTGAGAAACAGACACCTCACAGGTCCTCAACTGGCAGCTTCATTAAATAGTACCCGCAAAACACCAGTCTCAACGGCAACAGTGAAGAGGCGACTCCGGGATGCTGACCTTCTAGGCAGAGTTGCAAAGAAAAAGCAATATCTCAGACTGGCCAATAAAAATAAAAGATTAAGATGGGCAGTCTGAGATATGGCTTTTTCTGGGTCCCAGGCTGAAAAAGCTTTAAGAACCCCTGCGCTATAGAAGCTCTATAATGTATTTAAGTGGTTGGTTATTTAATTTAAAATGGGACACTTCTGTTTAATCACTCTGCTACTTACAGTGGTTATGAACACTTTATGAATGCTCTACCAAGCTCTATAAATACTTTATGAATCCTTTATGAACTATACTCTACTCTTTCAGGATTACGGGATGTGGGAGAGAGGAGACAAGACGAACCAGGGGATCCCTGAGCTCAACGCTAGCTCTATCGGCATGGCTAAAGTGAGAATGCACACGCACACACACACACAGGGAGGAGAAGTTATGATTAAGGTCATAATTCCTTGTGTCGTATTGTGGTCTGTATGGGAAGGCCTATAAAAATGATTGACACTGCCCTGAAAGCCTGCCACCAACAGACAACCTTTTATCAAGCTGTGATCGAAAGAGTGAAGCAACAAAAAACACGCACACACACGCACACACACACATATTTTACACCCCTCTGCCCCCCCTCTCTATTTTACACCCCTCTGCCCCCCCCCCTCTCTATTTTACACCCCTCTGCCCCCCTCCCCCCCCCCCTCTATTTACCCCTCTGCCCCCCCCCTCTCTATTTTACACCCCCTCTGCCCCACCCTATTTTTTACACCCTTGCTCCCCCCTCTCTATTATTTACACCCCTCTGCCCCCCCTCCTCTATTTTACACCCCTCTGCCCCCCCCCTCTCTATTTTACACCCCTCTGCCCCCCTCTCTATTTTACACCCCTCTGCCCCCCCCTCTCTATTTTACACCCCTCTGCGCCCCCCCTCTCTCATTTTACACCCTCTTGCCCCCCCTCCTTTTTACACCCCTCTGCCCCCCCCTCTCTATTTTACACCCCTCTGCCCCCCCCCTCTCTATTTACACCCCTCTGCCCCCCCCCTCTCTATTTTACACCCCTCTGCTCCCCCCTCTCTATTTTACACCCCTCTGCTCCCCCCTCTCTATTTTACACCCCTCTGCTCCCCCCTCTCTATTTTACACCCCTCTGCCCCCCCCTCTCTATTTTACACCCCTCTGCCCCCCCTCTCTATTTTACACCCCTCTGCCCCCCTCTCTCTATTTTACACCCCTCTGCCCCCCCCCCCCTCTCTATTTTACACCCCTCTGCCCCCCCCTCTCTATTTTTACACCCCTCTGGCCCCCCTCTCTCTATTTTACACCCCTCTGCCCCCCCCCTCTCTCTATTTTACACCCCTCTGCCCCCCCTCTCTATTTTACACCCCTCTGCCCCCCCCAACCCCCCTTTCTATTTTACACCCCAACTGCCCCCACCCTCTCTATTTTACACCCCTCTGCCCCCCCCCCCCACCCCCCCCTCTCTATTTTACACGGTGGACAGAGGGCACACACACACACACACACACAGAAACGCACACACACACACACACACACACAGAAACGCACACAAAGCAGCTGAGAATGCGTTCATGATGGACAGAGGGCACACACACACACACACACACACACACACACAGAAACGCACACAAAGCAGCTGAGAATGCGTTCATGATGGACAGAGGGCACACACACACACACACACACACACACACACACACACAGAAACGCACACAAAGCAGCTGAGAATGCGTTCATGGTGGACAGAGGGTGGGTTTCACACATTGCTTCCGTTAACACACACACATTTGTCTGTCATTGGTATGTCTTCCCCTGCTCAACCCTTTGATTGCGTTCGCTAGTATCGTGTTCTAAGTGTTGGTTACTGGAGTTTCCAAGAACCAGACATGGTTCACAGGAACGACGTAGTAAATAGATAAATACTAGTAACTGTTTCTATCTGATATTCCTAGAAATCAGCAGCATAATGTACCATTTCTTGTTTCCATATCAGCGTAGGCGACATGTAGTTTTCCATTTTATTTAATTATTTTACACCAGCCCTCTGTCACCATCCTTCTGTTTTATGTTATATCTGATATCTCATTGTTATGACAGTCTTATGACCTGATGTAGCCCTTATGAAGGTGTTATGTAGCCCTTATGAAGGTGTTATGTAGTCCTTATTAAGATGTAGTAGGGTTGGGTACTATACTGTATATACCGTAATCCGGGGTATTTTGAAATACCCGCAATGTGATTTTCAATACCGTCAAATTCGTTAAACATTTTTTTTTGTTGGGATATTTGTACTTTTAAAATAAATACCTGCCGTCATCTTGTGCACTAGGTAAATAGATAAAGCAGATGGCTTTCTTCATTTCACCTGTTTGATTATTTTTCATAATGAAGCTTACCGGTAGTTCCCCAAAACAGTTGATTGAGCCTGTTACGTGTGTGCAAATGGAAGCTTCATAAGGTGATTCTCTCCTGCAGCGCAACTTAAGTGAGGTGATCAACTTACACTTGTATGAAATTCTCTACTAATGTTTGCCAGCTATACAGTATATCTTACATTAAGTTAACTATCCAAAATGTGCCAAATACATTTTCTCCAGCTGTGTATTTGGTTTTCTAATTTTGCTAGCCAAGACGCTAGCTTGCAAGATCAAGCTTCTTGAATCTTGGTAACAGCAGAGAATCTCCTCCTGGATCAAGAGGCCTTTCTGTCTAATATGTGTTTTGTGCAAACTGTGAGTAGCCTTTTGAGATATTGCATAACTTTATGAGCAGGGTTGTCTGTCCTTGCAATTAGTTTATGTTCGCTTGCGCTCGTTAACATTTACCTAGCATCCGCTATGGGCATTCCTTAGTACCTGTTAGCATTTTTTTGCGCTTCCTTATGTGCACCACCCGTAATACTGTGTACCTCGGTATGGCAAAGGCACGGTATGAAGGTATGACAATCTGGACCAACTGTTATGTAGTCTTATTATAGTGTTATGTAGCCCTTGTGACAAGGTTATGTAGCTCTTATGAAGGTGTTATGAGCCCTTACAACAATGTTATGTAGCCCTTGTGACAGGGTTAAATAGCCCTTATGAAGTTATGTTATGTAGTCCTTATGAAGGTGTTATGTAGTCCTTATGAAGGTGTTATGTCCCACAGGCAGCTCTGGAGGCCCTGGATGAACTGAACCTGTTTGGAGCCGGAGGAGGACCAGGGTCTGTGGTGCACGCTCTGGCTGACGATATACAGCACTGTCAGGTACACTAGACAGCACACATGAAGTTACAACACTAAACAACACACTACAACCAAACCACACACTGGACACAACACTTACAAGACATTTACACATAACACACAACACACACACACATAGAACACACACACACACAAACACACACACACACACAACACACAAAACAACACACAAACACACACAAACACAACACACACACCACAACATACCACACACACCACACACACACACCACACACCACATAGACATACACATACACACAAACACACACATAGACAAACAAACACACACACACACACACACACACACACACACATAGACATACAGTGCATTCGGAAAGTATTCAGACCCCTTGACTTTTTCCACATTTTGTTACGTTACAGCTTTATTCTAAAATTGATTAAATAAATAAAAATCCTCAGCAATCTACACACAATACCCCATAATGACAAAGTGAAAACAGGTTTTTAGAAATTTTAGCAAATGTATAAAAAACAAAAAAACAGAAACCTTATTTACATAATTATTCAGACCCTTTGCTATGAGACTCGAAATTGAGCTCAGGTGCATCCTGATCATCCTTGAGAGGTTTCTACAACTTGATTGGAGTCCACCTGGGGTAAATTCAATTGATTGGACATGATTTAGAAAGGAACACACCTGTCTATATAAGGTCCCACAGTTGACAGTGCATGTCAGAGCAAAAACCAAGCCATGAGGTCGAAGGAATTGTCCGTAGAGCTCCGAGACAGGATTGTGTCCAGGCACAGATCTGGGGAAGGGTACCAAAAAAATATCTGCAGCATTAAAGGTCCCCAAGAACACAGTGGCCTCCATCATTCTTAAATGGAAGAAGTTTGGAACCACCAAGACTCTTCCTAGAGCTGGCTGCCTGGCCAAACTGAGCAATCAGGGGAGAAGGGCCTTGGTCTTGGTCAGGGAGGTGACCAAGAACCCGATGGTCACTCTGACAGAGCTCTAGAGTCCTTCTGTGGAGATTGGGAGAACTTTCCAGAAGGACAACCATCTCTGCAGCACTCCACCAATTAGGCCTTTATGGTAGAGTGGCCAGACAGAAGCCACTCCTCAGTAAAAGGCACATGACAGCCCACTTGGAGTTTGCCAAAAGGCACCTAAAGACTCTCAGACAATGATAAACAAGATTCTCTGGTCTGTTGAAACCAAGATTAAACTCTTTGGCCTGAATGCCAAGTGTCACGTCTGGAGGAAACCTGGCACCATCCCTACGGTGAAGCATGGTGGTGGCAGCATCATGCTGTGGGGGTGTTTTTCAGTGGCAGGGACTGGGAGACTAATCAGGATCAAGGCAAAGATGAACAGAGCAAAGTACAGAGAGATCCTTGATGAAAACCTGCTCCATAGCGCTCAGGACCTCAGACTGGGGCAAAAGGTCACCTTCCAACAGGACAGCAACCCTAAGCACACAGCCAAGACAACGCAGGAGTGGCATTGGGACAAGTCTCTGAATGTCCTTGAGTGGCCCAGCCAGAGCCCGGACTTGAACCCGATCGAACATCTCTGGAGAGACCTGAAAATAGCTGTGCAACAACGCTCCCCATACAACCTGACAGAGCTTGAGAAGATCTGCAGAGAAAAATGGGAGAAACTCCCCAAATACAGGTGTGCCAAGCTTGTAGCGTCATACCCAAGAAGACTCGAGGCTGAAATCGTTGACAAAGCTGCTTCAACAAAGTACTGAGTAAAGGGTCTGAATACTTATGTAAATGTGATATTTCTAAAAACCTGTTTTTGCTTTGTCATTATGGGGTATTGTTTCTAGATTGAGGGAAAAAAAAACTATTTGATCAATTTTAGAATAAGGCTGTAACGTAACAAAATGTGGAACAAGTCAAGGGGTCTGAATACTTTCCGAAGACATACACACTAACGCATGTATAGACACACACATAGAGACACACACACACACACACACACACTTATACATTTCAATTAGTTTTGGGTTATCCTTTATCAGAGTTTCTTCTTCTCTCTCTCACCCCCCTCTCTCTCTCTCTCTGTCTCTCTCTCTCTCTCTCTCTCTCTCTGTTCTCTCACCCCCCTCTCTCTGTTCTCTCTCTGTCTCTCTGTTCTCTCTCTGTCTCTCTGTTCTCTCTCTGTCTCTCTGTTCTCTCTCTCTCTCTCTGTCTCTCTGTCTCTCTCTGTCTCTCTGTTCTCTCTCTGTACTCTGTTCCTCTCTCTACTTCTGTCTTGTTTCTCACCCCCATTTAGTGTCGATACTTGTTCTTCTAACCACCACTATGTAGTTGTATTCTCACCCTCTCTAACTTCTCTCTCTCTCTCTCTCTGTTCTCGATCTCACCCCCATCTACTGGTTCTCACCCCCCCACCATCTTATCTCTCTGTTCTCTCTCTGGTCTATCTGTTCTCTCTCTGTCTCTCTGTTCTCTACTACACCACACTCTATCTGTATACTGTTCTTGTTCTCTCTCTTCTCTCTGTTTCTTTCTCTGTCTCTCTGTTTCTCTCTCTGTCTCTCTGTTTCTTCTATCATTCTCCTCTCTTCTCTCTGTTCTCTCTCTGTCTCTCTCTCTTCTCTCTGTTCTCTCTCATGTCTCTTCTCTGTATCTCTGTCTCTCCTGTCTCTCTTTCTCTCTGTCTCTCTTCTGTTTCGTTCTCTCTCACCTCACCTCTCTCTCTGTCTCTCTGTTCTCTCTCATGTCTCTCTGTTTCTTCTTCTCTCTGTTCTCTCTCACCCCCCTCTCTCTCTCTCTCTCTGTTCTCTCTCTGTCTCTCTGTTCTCTCTCTGTCTCTCTGTTCTCTCTCACCCCCCTCTCTCTCTCTCTCTCTGTTCTCTCTCACCCCTCTCTCTCTGTTTCTCTTCAGTCCATCCTCAACTCCATGCTTCCCAGGGCGTCTATGTCTAAAGAGGTGGATGCAGGGGTGCTGTCCATTATCTCGTACCCGGCCTTCGCTGTAGAGGACATCTCTATTGTCAACATCACCAAGGAGAAGATCATATCCAAACTACAGGTCAGGACAGTGTTATGTCACCCTTATGACAGGGCTATGCAGTGTTATGTTGTGTTATGTAACCCTTATGGCAGGGAAAATGGCATATATTATATATTATATATTTCTTTCTCTTTTCTCAGGGTCGATATGGATGCTGTAGGTTTCTCAGGGATGGACACAAAACGCCTAAAGAGGTAAAAACATGCGCTCTCACTCTTTTTCTCTCTCTCTTATCGCTCTCTCCATTCTTCCCTCTCTCTCTCTCCCTCCCTCCCTCTACATGTTGATTTATATCTCACCACCCAGCCATAGTCACTTCTACATTTGATGAAATGCATCTGCAGTCATGGGAGGTGTTCAGACTAAGTGCTTTGATCAGAGGAACAGCAGCGATACATCCCAATCAGTCAGAATGAGAAAATTTAAACATCTGTATCATCTTTCCATTCACTTATCCTTCCATTTCACCCCTCCTTCCATTTCACCCCTCCTTCCATTTCACCCCTCCTTCCATCTGTTACCAGATTATTTGCGTTGATGTGGTTTCCTTATTTGTGTGGCCGCCTATGGAAACCCTTCACATCGTGAATATTATTTTAATGTAATTTTTTTTTATAGTTCTGAAAACTCCAAACTATCCCAAATACAGGTCTTTTTAAATCACTGAGATATGTATTTATCAGAACCCGAGTTTTGAACTTTTAAAGTTGGCCTCAGCCAAAAAGTTCAAATGGAGAAAACAGCATTCAAAGATTCCGTAACGTTTTTTTTCTAATTGCATTGAGGCATGAGAGAAAAACCCCAATCAGCTCGATTGTTTTAAAAAGAGATTCCATTCAGAATATTACGTAGCAGCCTACCTGTTGGCTCTTGGTCGTTGTAGCCTATCCTTCTCCTTTCACTTCTAATTCCATCGTTTTAACTCCATCTTCCATTGATTACATATCTTCCATTGATTACATATCTTCCCCACACGGAGGCGCTATGACTGTATCCTGTTGCTGCATTGATGACTTATGATTGGCCAACAACAAGCTACACGCGCCAATCGGGAAAAGCAAAGAGCAGCATCATAAATTATACAATTTCTCTCTCTCTCTCTCTACTACAGCAGTCGCGTTCAGATCTGTATGGTTCCTTCCTGACAAGTCAGTTAAAATTAGGCTACACGTAGCTGAGACCCGTGACAATCATATCAGATCCGACCCAGACCCGTGACATTATTTCGAATTCTGGATTCGGACCCGCTCGTGTCCCGGATCGGGTCTCGGGTATTCGGTACAGGTGGATCCGTGAAGACCTCTACCTTGGATCCAGCGCTCTCCACCAGATCCAGACCCAGAGCCTGGCCATTCCCTTCACCCTGAGGGGAAACATCATGTTTCAGTGCTTTATCAGTCTTTTTTATTTGGGTCCACAATAAAGGAAATTGTCATGGAGACCCAAATGTTTAAAAACACACACACACTCACACTCACACACACACACACACTCACACACACACACACACTCACACACAAAGAAGGGTCTCTCTTCTTCTTCAAACCGCTGTGTCTATTATCTCTCTCTCAATGAATGAACATTAAATTGTTAGCTAGCTAACTTGTTTTGCGGGATACAGGGATGGAAAAATACCACGGCTGGTCAAATAGTCAGTGAAACATTTAGGCTAGCGTTAGCTATAGCAGCGTGTCTTCAAATTTGCCTTCAACAGTACTGTCACTCCAACAACACTGGCTATAGCCTACCTTTAAACAAATCCAGTGTAAATGCAGGTAGTGAAGGCCCGAGTTTATAAAGTATTGTGTACTTTAGCTAGCTAGCTTAACATACCTTGCTTGCTCCTTGTTGAATATGCTCTCTCATCTCTCCATCCATGATGAGATGACAGACGATCGTTGGGACCACTTAAAATGATCCTTGATTACCAGTATTTCAGAGCATACTGGCAGCTTTGCTCTAAGTATTGACGTCTGACTAGCCAAGTCAAACAACAAGCAACATATCGCTGTTTATCTGAGAAGTCGGCAGTCAGCTCCAGTGATGATTGATGACTAACTAGAAAACGGGAAGACTGTGCTACTATTAGGAGCCCAATCCCAATTCGCACACCCCTTCAAAGATTTAAAAGCAGTGGATTGATGTAACTGTATTGGTAGACAATTCATCTACACCTATCCAATGTTTTTACATCTTTGAGGGAAGATGGCCACGGCTAGCCAAAATGACATAGCTAACGAATGACAGCAAAGATGCCTCTCACTTCCAACAACTTAAGGATAGGAAATAAATTGCTTTGCTACCTAAAATAAAAAATGATTCTGAACTGTTGAAATTACTGCAATGGTGTTAATATATTTGGATCACTTTTCATGTCATTTTGACCAGCTAATGGGCCTACCCACTGATCAAACAACATCGGAAGAAAGTGTGAACCTCTTATGAACGTTAGCGTCCTTAAATAATCATACAATATGTTTACATTACAATAAAGTAAAGGGTTTAAAGTATCCAAAACAACCAAAATCTAAATTGTCCACAAAAACTGATTTTCGTAGCGTTTTAGATTTTTCCCAACAATGAGTCGGTGCGACATCCGACAGGTTCTCATGGGTCGTCTCACATTTTCTCAGAAACAATGTCATTCTAGAACTATACTTTGTTGTTTTATTGCCCTCCCTCCCGTTCATCCATCCATCCATCTATCTCCTATTGTTCTCTCTCCATGATTCTGTGGTTCTGTTCCCTCCCGTTCATCCATCCATCCATCCATCTATCTCCTATTGTTCTCTCTCCATGATTCTGTGGTTCTGTTCCCTCCCTCCCTCCCGTCCCAGGATCCTAACCGTCTATACTATGAGTCTGCTGAGCTGAAGCTCTTTGAGAACATAGAGTGTGAATGGCCCCTGTTCTGGACCTACCTCATACTGGACGGCGTCTTCACCAACAGCCCAGAACAGGTGGCTATATAGCAGGTTAAATAATAATAATAATAATAATAATAAATAGGGGTGTGCTTATATAGTCCTGTTTCACTGTATGTACAAGTGGGTAACCTGTAAGTGTGAAATGGAAATGTGTTTTTTGCCTTGCTTAAGGGCAGAACGATAAATGTTTACCTTGTCTGCTCGGGGATTCGATCCAGCAACCGCCAGGCTACCTGAGCAGGTTATGACCTCTCATAGGAGTTAATATAGAAGCTATATGCCTTCATAGCAGTGTCCTTACTTGTCACCCTCCAGGTCCAGGAGTACAGGGATGCTCTGGAGGGGATTCTGATCAAACAGAAGGATGGGATCTGTCTACTGCCAGAGCTCTACAGCGTTCCACCTGATAGGGTAAGACTGGAAAACCAGGGTGTAGTGGTGCCTTAATGGAACTCCAGAATCTTCCAACCAGGATGTAGTGGTGGCTAAATGGAACTCCAGAATCTTCCAACCAGGGTGTAGTGGTGGCTAAATGGAACTCCAGAATCTTCCAACCAGGATGTAGTGGTGGCTAAATGGAACTCCAGAATCTTCCAACCAGGGTGTAGTGGTGGCTAAATGGAACTCCAGAATCTTCCAACCAGGATTTCTGGAAAACCTGGGAATTTAGCAAGCCTAATCACACATGTGAACCAATTTTAGTTTTTTTACAGGTGGCTGAGGAGTATGCGAACCCCCCCCACTCTGTGGAGAGAGTTGGGGTGCATTCTAACTGTGTGTCTGTAACCAACAGGTGGCTGAGGAGTATGTGAACCCCCACTCTGTGGAGAGAGTTGGGGTGCATTTCTAAACTGATGGTGGTCTGTAACCAACAGGTGGGCTGAGGAGTATGTGGAACCCCCCAACTCTGTGGAGAGTAGTTTGGGTGTGCGTTCTAACTGTGTGTGCTGTAACCAACAGGTTGGCTGAGGAGTATGCGAACCCCCATTGTCGGAGGGAGGTTGGGGTGCGTTCTAACTGTGTGTTGTACACAACAGGTGGATGAGGAGTAGCGAACCCCACTCTGTGGAGAGAGTGGGGGCCGTTCTAACTGTGGTCGTAACCAACAGGTGGCTGAGAGTTATGCGAACCCCCAACTCTTGTGGGAGATGAGTGGGGTGCGTTCTAACTGTGTGTCTGTAGACCAACAGGTGGTGAGGAGTATGCGAAACCCCCCCCACTCGGTGGAGAGAGTTGGGGTGCATTCTAAATGTGTGTCTGTAACCAACAGGTGGTGAGAGATGTGACCCCCACCTGTGGAGGAGGTGGGGTGCGTTACTAACTGTGTGTCTGACAAACAGGTGGTGAGGAGTAATGCGAACCCCCCCAATCGGTGGAGAGAGTTTGGGGGTGCGTTCTAACTGTGTGTCTGTAACCAACAGGTGGCTGAGGAGTATGCGAACCCCCCCACTCTGTGGAGAGAGTTGGGGTGCGTTCTAACTGTGTGTCTGTAACCAACAGGTGGCTGAGGAGTATGTGAACCCCCACTCTGTGGAGAGAGTTGGGGTGCATTCTAACTGTGTGTCTGTAACCAACAGGTGGGCTGAGGAGTATGCGAACCCCCACTCTGTGGAGAGAGTTGGGGTGCATTCTAACTGTGTGTCTGTAACCAACAGGTGGCTGAGAGTATGCGAACCCCCACTCTGTGGAGAGAGTTGGGGTGCATTCTAACTGTGTGTCTGTAACCAACAGGTGGCTGAGGAGTAATGTGAACCCCCACTCTGTGGAGAGAGTTGGGGGTGCATTCTAACTGTGTGTCCTGTAACCAACAGGTGGCTGAGGAGTATGCGAACCCCCACTCTGTGGAGAGAGTTTGGGGTGCGGTTCTAACTGTGTGTCTGTAACCAACAGGTGAGTATGCGAACCCCCCCCACTCTGTGGAGAGAGTTGGGGTGCATTCAACTGTGTGTCTGTAACCAACAGGTGGTGAGGAGTATGTGAACCCCCACTCTGTGGAGAGAGTGGGGTGCGTTCTAAACTGTGTGTCTGTAACCAACAGGTGGCTGAGGAGTATGCGAACCCCCCCACTCTGTGGAGAGAGTTGGGGTGCGTTCTAAACTGTGTGTCTGTAACCAAACAGGTGGCTGAGGGAGTATGCGAACCCCCACTCTGTGGAGAGAGTTGGGGTGCATTCTAACTGTGTGTCTGTAACCAACAGGTGGCTGAGGAGTATGCGAACCCCCACTCTGTGGAGAGAGTTGGGGTGCATTCTAACTGTGTGTCTGTAACCAACAGGTGGCTGAGGAGTATGTGAACCCCCACTCTGTGGAGAGAGTTGGGGTGCATTCTAACTGTGTGTCTGTAACCAACAGGTGGCTGAGGAGTATGCGAACCCCCACTCTGTGGAGAGAGTTGGGGTGCGTTCTAACTGTGTGTCTGTAACCAACAGGTGGCTGAGGAGTATGCGAACCCCCCCACTCTGTGGAGAGAGTTGGGGTGCATTCTAACTGTGTGTCTGTAACCAACAGGTGGCTGAGGAGTATGTGAACCCCCACTCTGTGGAGAGAGTTGGGGTGCGTTCTAACTGTGTGTCTGTAACCAACAGGTGGCTGAGGAGTATGCGAACCCCCCCACTCTGTGGAGAGAGTTGGGGTGCGTTCTAACTGTGTGTCTGTAACCAACAGGTGGCTGAGGAGTATGCGAACCCCCACTCTGTGGAGAGAGTTGGGGTGCATTCTAACTGTGTGTCTGTAACCAACAGGTGGCTGAGGAGTATGCGAACCCCCACTCTGTGGAGAGAGTTGGGGTGCGTTCTAACTGTGTGTCTGTAACCAACAGGTGGCTGAGGAGTATGCGAACCCCCACTCTGTGGAGAGGGTCCCTCTGGGGAAGCTCCCTCTAAAGTGGGGTCAGTCCCTCTACGTCCTAGGAAGTCTACTGGCAGAGGTGAGAGGTCACGCACTACACTAGCTAGTGGACACTATACTACACACACTACAATAGCTGGTGACTAACTGCCACTGGGTTATAAAGTCCTCCTCTCCTCTCCTCTCTCCGGTATTGTATGGTAAAGCTTTGCCCTCTCTCTGTGTTCTACAGGGTTTCCTGGCCCCTGGAGAGATAGATCCTCTCAACCGACGTTTCTCCACCATCCCCAAGCCAGACGTGGTGGTGCAGGGTGAGATTTGAAGGCTACACACTGAATATATGTCTACGTTTGATAAAAGCATCTGCTAAAGGACCATATTTAAAGGCCGGTTTATACTTGGTCTAACGACATGTCTGTAGACAATTAGAATCCGACAAGTGTCTCTGGTCAAAACAACATTTCATTTATACTCCGGTGGAATGTCTGCAGATTTTCGCTGCGACTGTCGGTTTCCTTGTCGCACAGACATGAAAAAAGTGAATGTCTCTTCGACTGTCGCAATGTCCGTTGTCGTGGTTACTTGGCTGCTACAGCAACAAGACCAAATCCATCTGTGATGAGACAGTGCAGGAGTTCTCTGATAGAATGACCTACTTTAATTTCTTCACACTCACAACCATAAGCTATTTTCTGTAAGCTCGCCATCATTACCTTGTAAATAATGATGTTGTGGGTTCATTTCCCTGTAATAATGAATAGAATTAGCTGAAGTTATACTCTTGGTCATTATTTGAACTGGCTAGCCAGCTAGATAGCTAACAAGCTAAAAACAAACCAAAACATTGTTTAGAAAGTTGTTTTTAGTTTACATTTACTGAATTTATTTTTAAACGGATGGGTTTATCGGTGTTAAAATAGAGCAAGTATGCTATTTGGAGCACCGGGTTGCTGATGTCATGTAGAGACTGTCTGGAGCACCGGGCTGCTGATGTCATGTAGAGACTGTCTGGAGCACCGGGCTGCTGATGTCATGTAGAGACTGTCTGGAGCACCGGGCTGCTGATGTCATGTAGAGACTGTCTGGAGCACCGGGCTGCTGATGTCATGTAGAGACTGTCTGGAGCACCGGGCTGCTGATGTCATGTAGAGACTGTCTGGAGCACCGGGCTGCTGATGTCATGTAGAGACTGTCTGGAGCACCGGGCTGCTGATGTCATGTAGAGACTGTCTGGAGCACCGGGCTGCTGATGTCATGTAGAGACTGTCTGGAGCACCAGGCTGCTGATGTCATGTAGAGACTGTCTGGAGCACCGGGCTGCTGATGTCATGTAGAGACTGTGGTTTTGTGTTGATACTTTTTCATAACGACAAGGACAAGTTTGATGTCGGACGACAATAGAATTTTCATGATGTCGCTATGGCAACTGTCTACAGACATGTCGATAGACCAACTGTAAACCAGCCTTAATACATACTGTATATGTAACTATTAAATATATACAGTGAGGGGAAAAAAGTATTTGATCCCCTGCTGATTTTGTACGTTTGCCCACTGACAAAGACATGATCAGTCTATAATTTTTATGGTAGGTTTATTTGAACAGTGAGAGACAAAATAACAACAAAAAAATCCAGAAAAACGCATGTCAAAATGTTATACATTAATTTGCATTTTAATGAGGGAAATAAGTATTTGACCCCTCTGCAAAATATGACTTAGTACTTGGTGGCAAAACCCTTGTTGGCAATCACAGAGGTCAGACGTTTCTTGTAGTTGGCCACCAGGTTTGCACACATCTCAGGAGGGATTTTGTCCCACTCCTCTTTGCAGATCTTCTCCAAGTCATTAAGGTTTCGAGCCTGACGTTTGGCAACTCGAACCTTCAGCTCCCTCCACAGATTTTCTATGGGATTAAGGTCTGGAGACTGGCTAGGCCACTCCAGGACCTTAATGTGCTTCTTCTTGAGCCACTCCTTTGTTGCCTTGGCCGTGTGTTTTGGGTCATTGTCATGCTGGAATACCCATCCACGACCCATTTTCAATGCCCTGGCTGAGGGAAGGAAGTTCTCACCCAAGATTTGACGGTACATGGCCCCATCCATCGTCCCTTTGATGCGGTGAAGTTGTCATGTCCACTTAGCAGAAAAACACCCCCAAAGCATAATGTTTCCACCTCCCTGTTTGATGGTGGGGATGGTGTTCTTGGGGTCATAGGCAGCATTCCTCCTCCTCCAAACACGGCGAGTTGAGTTGATGCCAAAGAGCTCGATTTTGGCCTCATCTGACCACAACAGTTTCACCCAGTTCTCCTCTGAATCATTCAGATGTTGATTGGCAAACTTCAGACGGCCTGTATATGTGCTTTCTTGAGCAGGGGGACCTTGCGGGCGCTGCAGGATTTCAGTCCTTCACGGCGTAGTGTGTTACCAATTGTTTTCTTGGTGACTATGGTCCCAGCTGCCTTGAGATCATTGACAATATCCTCCCGTGTAGTTCTGGGCCGATTCCTCACCGTTCTCATGATCATTGCAACTCCACGAGGTGAGATCTTGCATGGAGCCCCAGGCCGAGGGAGATTGACATTTATTTTGTGTTTCTTCCATTTGCGAATAATCGCACCAACTGTTGTCACCTTCTCACCAAGCTGCTTGGCGATGGTCTTGTAGCCCATTCCAGCCTTGTGTAGGTCTACAATCTTGTCCCTGACATCCTTGGAGAGCTCTTTGGTCTTGGCCATGGTGGAGAGTTTGGAATCTGATTGATTGATTGCTACTGTGGACAGGTGTCTTTTATACAGGTAACAAACTGAGATTAGGAGCACTCCCTTTAAGAGTGTGCTCCTAATCTCAGCTCGTTACCTGTATAAAAGACACCTGGGAGCCAGAAATCTTTCTGATTGAGAGGGGGTCAAATACTTATTTCCCTCATTAAAATGCAAATTAATTTATAAAAATTTTGACATGCGGTTTTTCTGGATTTTGTTGTTATTCTGTCTCTCACTGTTCAAATAAACCTACCATTAAAATTATAGACTGATCATTTATTTGTCAGTGGGCAAACGTACAAAATCAGCAGGGGATCAAATACGTTTTTTCCCTCACTGTATATAGCCAGACGCACCAATGTGTTGGAGGAAACACCGCCCAACTGATGACCGAAGTCAGCTTGCAGGCGCTCTGCCCGCCGCAACGAGTCGCTAGAGGGCGATGAGCCATGTAAAGCCACCCCGGCCAAACCCTCCCCTAACCCGGACGACGCTGGGCCAATTGTGCGCCGCCCTATGGGACTCCCGGTCACGGCTGGTTGTGACACAGCCTGGGATTTTTTGTCATTATGGGGTATTGTGTGTAGATTGATGAGGGGGGAAAACAATTTAATCCATTTTAGAATAAGGCTGTAACGTAACAAAATGTGGAAAAGGTCAAGGGTCAAAATAGCTCCCCATACAACCTGACAGAGCTTGAGAAGATCTGCAGAGAAAAATGGGAGAAACTCCCCAAATACATTGTTAGTGATCCAATTGACATTTTAGTCATTTAGCAGACGCTCTTATCCAGAGCGACTTACAATTAGTGAGTGCATTTTTCATACTGGCCCCCCGTGTGCCAAGCTTGTAGCGTCATACCCAAGAAGACTCGAGGCTGAAATCGCTGCCAAAGGTGCTTCAACAAAGTACTGAGTACAGGGTCTGAATACTTATGTAAATGTGATATTTTATTTTTTTAGCAAACATTTCTAGAAACCTGTTTTTGCTTTGTCATTATGGGGTATTGTGTGTAGATTGATGAGGGAAAAAACAATTTCATCCATTTTAGAATAAGGCTGTAACGTAACAAAATGTGGAAAAAGTCAAGTAACGCTACAAGCTTGGCACACCTGTATTTGAGGAGTTTCTCCCGTTCCTCTCTGCAGATCCTCTTAAACTCTGTCAGCTGCAGGATCTCTTTGTACTTTGCTCCGTTCATCTTTCTTCGATCCTGACTATATTAACCATTTTTTAAGTTAAGGTTTACATCCCACATGCAACAATCACCTCATGACAGACTTGTTTACGGAAGAACCCCACCCCCAACAGTCAAACACATTTTACAGAAAAAATGACATATTTCTAGCTATTTTAATAATAAAATAAGTCAGTCATTTTTTTTATTCTCTTCCTGTAGTGTCTATCCTGGCAGAGAATGAGGAGATCCAGGAGTTGTTGATGAAGAACGGGATAGAGGTGGAGACAGTATCTGACATACACCCCATCCACGTCCAACCTGCTAGAGTCCTCAGCCACATTTACGCACGACTTGGTAAACAAAGAGAGGGAAGGAAGGAGGGAGGGAGGGAAGGAGGGAGGGAAGGAGGAGGGAAGGAGGGAAAGAAGAGGGAAAGATGGGATAGAGGTGGAGACAGTAGCTGACACTGTACACCCCATCCACATCCTGCTAGAGTTCTCAGCCACATTTACTCTGTCAACAGTCTTTCACTACCATACAAAAGAAAATGACCTTACAAAAACTGGTGCTATTGGAAGCCACTTCTACACCGGGCGGTGAGGGCCAGTTTCCCGTAATCTAAACCTATATTAGAAAGCATGCTGACTGTTGAACCCTCCACTCTTCCTCTTTTCTCCCAGGACGTAACCAGAGACTAGGGCTGACTGGTCGACCCTACAGGAGGATTGGATGTCTAGGAACTTCTAAGTTCTATGTCATCCGCAACACCATCTTTGCCTTCACACCACAGGTAGATACAGTACAGGACAGTACAATTTTCTGTGTGTGTGTGTGTGTGTGTGTACTTGTTTTCCTACCTCATCAGGACCCCAATGTCCTAACGTTTCACCTGAATGTCCTGACAAGGTAGGAAAACTATAACTGTTTTGAAAAGTCAGGATGTTTTTCAGGTCCTGAATTTGTTCAAATGCTATTTTAAGGTTAGGGTTAAGGATAGTGTTTTGGGGGTTATGGTTAAAGTTATGGTTAAGGATTAGGGTTAGGGGTTATGTTTAGTGTTAGGGAAAATAGGATTCTTAATGGTCAAAAAATTTGACTCCAAAATTTACAGAAATTTCACGAAAATAAAGCTGTGTGTGTGATGTCTATGGTGTGTGTAGGCACCTGAGCTGAGCCATAAGGGAAACTGGACATCAGTTGGGGAGGGGCAATGTTTGCTTTTTGTCCCCTCCGCCCCACTTTTGATCTGAAATCACCATCACTTTTTTTTGCAAATTAAAAGTGTTAGAGCTAGTAATTTATCAATATGTATCTTTAAAATTGACGTAGTCAGCAAAGCTACCAAAATATTTTATTTTAAGACCTACCTATAGCTTGTAGCCTACCTATAGAATGCAGCCTACCTACAGGATAGCATGTAGCCTACCTATAGAATGCAGCCTACCTACAGGATAGAATTGCAGGCCTACCTACAGTGATAGCATGTAGCCCTACCTCAGGCTAGGAATGTAGCCTACCTTACAGGATAGAGTAGACTACCTCCAGGAGATAGCTTGTAGCATACTACGGTATAGCATGTAGCCGACCTACAGGATAGCATGTAGCCTACCTACAGGATAGCACTGTAGCCTAACCTAAGGATAGGGGCCGTAGCCTACCTACAGGATAGCCTGTAGCCTACCTACAGGATAGCATGTAGCCTACCTACAGGATAGCATGTAGCCTACCTACAGGATAGCATGTAGCCTACCTACAGGATAGCATGTAGCCTACCTACAGGATAGCATGTAGCCTACCTACAGGATAGCATGTAGCCTACCTACAGGATAGCATGTAGCCTACCTACAGCCAAATGAGAGTTATGTATTCCGGCTGTAGCTTAGGCTACTTTTATTCTGGTAAAACACCATTTTCAACAGCGCATTTGATAAAAATAACCTAGAAAATTACATTGGTTGTCATTCAACCTATTAAGCCTAATATTTCACAAGCCATTTTACAAACATTTTGAATGCTGAAGGTGACGCACAGATGTGCCAGATCAGAAATAAGCCTACCTCTCGTAGGTCGAAGCATTTTTTACCTCGCGAAGATGCGCAGTTTGACTCGGCTACTGCTACTGCCCGGGGTTGTTCGCCATGCAAAATGATTTGTAGATCAATGACTGTCAACACAATTACATTCATAGTTCGACACTGAAGGAGAGGACACCGTTGTCACAAAAGATGAGGTATTTTCGGAAGGTAGAAAGTAATTTAAGCAAAAAAATGTTTGTGAACCAGCTATTCGTAATGTTTGAATTGATTTTCTGACCGATGCTGGGTTACATTTGGGGGTCCTGCAGACCGATGCACATCGGGGAACGCTGAGTATCCTTACATCCATTGTAGACTTTCTAGGATCATTTCATCGTTCAAATGCTCTTTTATTTGGACATGGCTTTATACAGTAGCTACTGTATGTCCTGGGAAGAGAAGGAGAATTACTAGTCTTTTTTTAAATTCTCTCTCTCCCTCCCTCCCTCCAGTTCATAGATCACCAGCAGTTCTACTTGGCGTTGGACAACCAGATGATTGTTGATATGCTTCGTACAGACCTGTCCTACCTTTCCTCTCGATGGAGGATGACTGGCAGACCCACTGTCACCTTCCCCATCTCTCAGACCATGCTCAGTGAGTCACACACCAGGGAGAGTGTGTTTGTGTGTGTGGGGGAGGCGGGAGTGTGTGTGTGGGGAGGCGGGAGGCGGGAGTGTGTGTGTGTGTGTGTGTGTGTGTGGGGAGGCGGGAGTGTGTGTGTGTGGGGAGGCGGGAGTGTGTGTGTGTGTGTGTGTGTGTGTGTGTGTGTGTGTGTGTGTGTGTGTTAGCTCATGGTCCCTGTATGTTTCAGCTGAAGACCACTCTGACCTGGACCCTGCGGTTCTGGCCACGCTGAAGAAGCTACAGGATGGATACTATGGAGGAGCAAGGTGAGGCCTCATTCATTTATTCATCTGTCCATCTGTGACTCTGTCGTCCATCTGTCGGTTTGTTTGTTTTTGTTCCTTCCTTAATTTATTTGTTTATTCATTCATTCATTTACCCCCCAGTCTGTCTGTTTTTTTTCTTCGATCGTTTGTTCTTTTGATCATTCATGCATTTATCCATTCATAAATGTTTTCTGAAATCACTCGTTCAGGCATTCATGCACACACACAAACACACACCCTCACTCACTCACTCACTCACTCACTCACTCACTCACTCACTCACTCACTCACTCACTCACTTAGTACCTCAATCCTTCCCTCACTCAGTCATCCATCCATCCACCCGTCCATCCATTCATTCATTCGTTCATTCATTCCTTTCTCTCGCTCCAGGATCCAGACGGGAAAGCTCTCTGAGTTCCTGACCACTTCCTGTTTCGCCAAACTCGGCTTCCTGGATGCCAGTAAGCACGTGGGCGGCATGGGCCGTGACGAAGATGATGATGATGATGATGACTATGGATGCTTTGCTGAGCATGGCTTGACCTTCAATGGTGGTAAGAAAGGGAGGGGAGGAAGGAGGAAGAGAAGGGACAGAGGGAGGGATGAAGGGAGGGACAGAGGGAGGGGATGAAGGGGAGGGACAGAGGGAGGGGATGAAGGGGAGGGACAGAGGGAGGGGATGAAGGGGAGGGACAGAGGGAGGGGATGAAGGGGAGGGACAGAGGGAGGGGATGAAGGGGAGGGAATGAAGGGGAGGACAGAGGGAGGGGATGAAGGGGAGGGACAGAGGGAGGGGATGAAGGGGAGGGACAGAGGGAGGGGACGAAGGGGAGGGACAGAGGGAGGGGATGAAGGGGGCTAGTGATGTCACCAGGGTATATGAAAGAAAATGTTTATTCACGGTCAGTTTAAAAACCTTTTTATTTTACTTGATTACAAAATGCTCTCTTTTACTGTGACAATATTGCAGAGGTGGGACCAAATCATTATTATTCGAGTCACAAGGTCCGAGTCCCAAGTAGAACGGGTCGAGTCTCGAGTCGAGTCCCAAGTAGAACGGGTCGAGTCAAGTCCAAGTCGTGCATTCTAAGAGCGAGTCAAGTCTCAAGTCAAGTAAAAATATATATACATGCAACGACTTGTTCAACTACAAATCTTTTGTCTATTTATTGAGGAACCAGACTGACCTTTTCATTATTTTGTCTACTCTCGTTGTAAAATGGGGACCTTGTAGCAGTCGTAAGGGCATGAAGCCAGCAGAAGGCAAGGCAGGTTGACGTGCTCAGACCGTAGATTTATTTACAGGTCTTGGTGATCCAGTGGTGAAAGCGCCATATCATACCAAATATACACGGGCAATAGCCCAAAGAAATAGCCTCTGTATCAGGCTTAACCTGTCATATCTGAACGGACACAGGTAGAGGGCAAGACCGCACAGCCTCCCCTTCAGAAACCAAATGGAATCTGTCTAACAGGACCTCAACAGGTACATATAGGCACTTGGCCCCTCCCAGGACCAAACAATTACAACCAATAAACTGGTTCTACAATGTAAAAGGCAATTTCCACATCCATTGTTCCATTCACCTTAATCAGACTTAATGATTATTAATGATGTTTCATCACAATTCGTACATGGGAACAATCATGTTCTCTTATTCAACATCCTGACTCCAAAGCCTGGAGCGCATGCCACATAGCCCCTTTCTATGCGAACTGAGGCTTCCTGTTAGGCACAACAGAAATGACAGAGACGTAGGACACAGACGCACGGAAATCCGACATAACCCGGGAAATATGAACAAAGGAAACCATACATTGAATTAAATAAACTGAATTTCTACCTTTATGAGTCTTGCGAACGTTCATGTGCACAATAATATTGGGTAATTTTGACATACCAAAAGACCATTAGGCCTATGCTAGTAATTGTTGATTGATGAACAAATAATTTTTGGAGCTGCATATTTATTTATTATGTCGATGATTGGTTGGGCTGAGGCCTTGATGATTGGTTGGGCTGAGGGCTTGATGATTGGTTGGGCTGAGGGCTTGATGATTGGTTGGGCTGAGGGCTTGATGATTGGTTGGGCTGAGGGCTTGAATGATTGGTTGGGCTGAGGGCTTGATGATTGGTTGGGCTGAGGGCTTGAATGATTGGTTGGGCTGAGGGCTTGATGATTGGTTGGGCTGAGGGCTTGAATGATTGGTTGGGCTGAGGGCTTGATGATTGGTTGGGCTGAGGGCTTGATGATTGGTTGGGCTGAGGGCTTGATGATTGGTTGGGCTGAGGGCTTGATGATTGGTTGGCCTGAGGGCTTGAATGATTGGTTGGGCTGAGGGCTTGATGATTGGTTGGGCTGAGGGCTTGATGATTGGTTGGGCTGAGGGCTTGATGATTGGTTGGGCTGAGGGCTTGATGATTGGTTTAGTTGACAAGTTGAATCAGGTGTGCTATCTCTAATAGATCAAATACATGGAACGGTTGTGGCCTCTATCGAACTCTATGGGTTTTCCTAACTCAATGTCAGGGGTGTCAAACTCATTCCTGCTGGTTTTGTTATATCCATTCAATTTGTGTCAAATTACGATCTAGACAACCAGGTTAGGGGAGTTCCTAACTAATCAGTGACCCGCAGACACTCCGCCCTCCGTGGAATGAGTTTGACACCTGTGCTCTATAGCTTCAACCCTGTATCCCAGGCAAATTCCAATCTGGACCTCGAAGGCAGTTCCACTGATGATTTGTATTATTTCCCTAATGAGGGACTGATTCAGACCGTGGACACCACGTAGTACAGAACCAGCAGTACTCTGGACCTCCAGGCTCAGATTTGAATATCCCCCTCTATCCTATTTCCCCTTCCTGTGACATTATCTTTTAACCTCTGACCTTTGACCTCTGACCCTTCATTACCTAACGATTGACCTCTGAATGACGTTACCATCATCGCAAGATAACCTCCTGACCTGGTTGTTTTGATGGGTGACACAACCAACTGATTTTGTGTTGGATTAACAAAAGCAAGCCTGTGAATGATTTAGGTGTGAATTGTGTTTGTTTTTTGTTCAGTAGTTGAGCAAGTGACTGACCACCATGTTTTAGTGAATTATTTGAGAGAATATTTGTCATAGAATTTACGGTCAAAATGCTGTCTTTGTAATTGAACTACCTGTAGCTGTTATCTGCATTCAGACTAAACACTTAAATCCAAAATGAAGGGTGGCTGGAATGTTTTTAGACTGAGATCAAGGCATTTTAATGCAACTCTCATGGGGTCAATTTCAAAACAGAAACCTAACAAATGCCACAATGAACATTTTCACAGCGGTTTTACATTTTTGGTGAGTGAGAACAGTTGTGTAATAGTTGTGTGGTATGTGTAGGAAGAAATTGGTTCTGATCAGGGATTAATACAATTAATTAAGATTATGGTGTCCTCGAGAATATCATATTTCTCAATCTCTTCTCTCTCTCTCTCTCTCTCTCTCTCTCTCTCTCTCTCTCTCTCTCTCTCTCTCTCCTCTCTCTCTCTCTTTCTCCTTCTACTCCCTCTCTCTCTCTCTCTTTCTCCTTCTACTCCCCTTCATCTCTCCCCTCTTTTCTCCCCCTCTCACTTCCAAACCTCCCTCCCTCTCCTCCCTCCCTCCCCTCCCCCTCCTCCCTCCCTCTCTCTAGAGGCTGATGACCTAGCCCAGTACCTGGACCAGTTGTTGACCACAGCGAACCCCAGCAGAGGGTTAAAGGTCAGGGTTATTTATTAATTAATACATTAAAATCTTTTTTTTTTTTTACATAATTTTTTTCACATAAAGCATTAAACATATATACAGTTGAAGTCGGAAGTTTTCATACACCTTAGCCAAATACATTTAAACTCAGGTTTTCACAATTCCTGACATTTAATCCTAGTAAAAATTCCCTGTCTTAGGTCAGTTAGGATCACCACTTTATTTTAAGAATGTGAAATGTCAGAATAATAGTAGAGAGAATGATTTATTTCAGCTTTTATTTCTTTCATCACATTCCCAGTGGGTCAGAAGTTTATATACACTCAATTAGTATTTGGTAGCATTGCCTTTAAATTGTTTAACTTGGGTCAAACATTTCGGGTAGCCTTCCACAAGCTTCCCACAATAAGGTGGGTGAATTTTGGCCCATTCCTCCTGACAGAGCTGGTGTAACTGAGTCAGGTTTGTAGGCCTCCTTGCTCGCACACACTTTTTCAGTTCTGCCCACAAATTTTCTATAGGATTGAGGTCAGGGCTTTGTGATGGCCACTCCAATACCTTGACATTGTTGTCCTTAAGCCATTTTGCCACAACTTTGGAAGTATGCTTGGGGTCATTGTCCATTTGGAAGACCCATTTGCGACCAAGCTTTAACTTCCTGACTGATGTCTTGAGATGTTGCTTCAATATATCCACATAATTTTCCTTCTTCATGATGCCATCTATTTTGTGAAGTGCACCAGTCCCTCCTGCAGCAAAGCACCCCCACAGCATGATGCTGCCACCCCGTGCTTCACAGTTGGGATGGTGTTCTTCGGCTTACAAGATACCCCCTTTTTCCACCAAACATAACGATGGTCATTATGGCCAAACAGTTCTATTTTTGTTTCATCAGACCAGAGGACATTTCTCCAAAAAGTACGATCTTTGTCCCCATGTGCAGTTGCAAACCGTAGTCAGGCTTTTTTATGGCGGTTTTGGAGCAGTGGCTTCTTCCTTGCTGAGCAGATTTTCAGGTTATGTCGATATAGGACTTGTTTTACTGTGGTTATAGATACTTTTGTACCTGTTTCCTCCAGCATCTTCACAAGGTCCTTTGCTGTTGTTCTGGGATTGATTTGCACAAAGTACGTTCATCTCTAGGAGACAGAATGCATCTCCATCCTGAGCGGTATGACGGCTGCGTGGTCCCATGGTGTTTATACTTGCGTACTATTGTTTGTACAGATGAACGTGGTACCTTCAGGTGTTTGGAAATTGCTCCCAAGGATGAACCAGACTTGTGGAGGTCTACAAATTATTTTCTGAGGTCTTGGCTGATTTCTTTTGATTTTCCCATGATGTCAAGCAAAGAGGCACTGAGTTTGAAGGTAGGCCTTGAAATACATCCACAGGTACACCTCCAATTGACTCAAATGATGTCAATTAGCCTATCAGAATCTTCTAAAGCCATGACATTTTCTGGAATTTTCCAAGCTGTTTAAAGGCACAGTCAACTTAGTGTATGTAAACTTCTGACCCACTGGAATTGTGATACAGTGAATTATAAGTGAAATAATCTGTCTGTAAACAATTGTTGGAAAAATTACTTGTGTCATGCACAAAGTAGATGTCCTAACCGACTTGCCAAAACTATAGTTTGTTAACAAGAAATTTGTGGAGTGGTTGAAAAACGAGTTTTAATGACTCCAACCTAAGTGTATGTAAACTTCCGACTTCAACTGTATCTTCCTTGTATATACACTACCAGTCAAAAGTTTGGACATATATTTGAGATTCTTCAAATAGCCACCCCTTGCCTGGATGACAGCTTTGCACACTCTTGGCATTCTCTCAACCAGCTTCATGAGGTAGTCACCTGAAATGAATTTCAATTAACAGGTGTGCCTTCTTAAAAGTTAATTTGTGGAATTTCTTTCCTTTTAATGCGTTTGAGCCAATCAGTTGTACTGTGACAAGGTGGGGGGGGGGTATACGGAAGATAGCCCTATTTGGTAAAAGACCAAGTCCATATTATGGCAAGAACAGCTCAAATAAGCAAAGATAACGACAGTCCATCATTACTTTAATACATGAAGGTCAGTCAATACGGACAATTTCAAGAACTTTTAAAGTTTCTTTAAAGTGCAGTCGCAAAAACCATCAAGCGCTATGATAAAACTGGCTCTCATGAGGATCGCCACAGGAACGGAAGACCCAGGGTTACCTCTGCTGCAGAGGATAAATTCATTAGAGTTACCAGCCTCAGAAATTGCAGCCCAATAAATGCTTCACAGAGTTCAAGTCACAGACACATCTCAACATCAACTGTTCAGAGGGGACTGTGTGAATCAGGCCTTCATGGTTGAATTGCTGCAAAGAAACCACTACTAAAGGACACCAATAAGAAGAAGAGACCTGCTTGGGCCAAGAAACACGAGCAATGGACATTAGACTGGTGGAAATTTGTCCTTTAGTCTGGAGTCCAAATTTGAGATTTTTGGTTCCAACCGCTGTGTCTTTTTGAGACGAGGTGTGGGTGAACTGATGGTCTCCGCATGTGTATTTCCCACCATAAAGCATGGAGGAGGAGGTGTTATGGTGTGGGGGTGCTTTGCTGGTGACACTGTCTGTGATTTATTTAGAATTCAAGGCACACTTAACCAGCATGGCTACCACAGCATTCTGCAGCGATACGCCATCCCATCTAGTTTGGGCTTAGTGGGACTATCATTTGTTTTTCAACAGGACAATGACCCAACACACCTCCAGGCTGTGTAAGGGCTATTCTACCAAGATGGAGCGTGATGGAGTGCTTCATCAGATTACCTGGCCTCCACAATTACCAGACCTTAACCAAATTGAGATGGTTTGGGGTGAGTCGGACCGCAGAGTGATGGAAAAGCAGCCAACAAGTGCTCAGCATATGTGGGAACTCCTTCAAGACTGTTGGAAAAGCATTCCATTTGAAGCTGGTTGAGAGAATGCCAAGAGTGTGCAAAGCTGTCATCAAGGCAAAGGGTGGCTATTTGAAGAATCTCAATTATAAAATATATTTTGTTTTAACACTTTTTTTGGTTACTACATGATTCCACGTGTTATTTCATAGTTTTGATGTCTTCACTATTATTCTACAATGTAGAAAATAGTCACACCAAAAAAAACTTGAAAGACTAGGTGTGTCTAAACTTTTGACTGGTACTGTATATAAGGGGTCAGTTCCTCAGATATACATTAAGCATAATCCTGGACTGAAAAACAACCTCATTGGAGAATCTCCATTGGAAGTGGTTTTTAGTCCAGGATTAGGCTTAATCTGTGTCCGGGAAATCTGGCCTTAATCTAACCAATAGATTTGTCTCATGTCTTTTCTGGATGATTATTTGGGTTAAAGGTCAGAGATGACTCTGGAGGGCTGGAGAGGTTCAAAGCAGCAGCCACCAAGACTAAGGAGATGGTGTCTCTCATGCACAAGGCCAAGGAACTCAACCTACACAGTGAGATGATAATAATAATAATAATAATAATAATAATAAGACTAAGGAGATGGTGTCTCTCATGCACAAGGCCAAGGAACTCAACCTACACAAACTTTTCAAGGGTGTTAAACTCATTCCATGGAGGGCAGAGGGTCTGCAGGTTTTTGCTGTTCCCTTGTACTTGTTCGATCAAGATCATTGAACAGATCTTTTTCCACCTCTCTCTTTACGCCCATCTCTCTCTCTACGCCCATCTCTCTCCATCCCTTTCTCTCTCTCTTCCCTCCCCCCCCCCCCCCCCCCCCCCTCTGTCTCTCTCCCACCCCTCTCTCTCTTCTAGATGCCCACATGTTTCTCCCCACCAAGCTCTTCCGTTCCCCTCAGCCCTCCCTCCACCTCACCCTCACAGATTCCTCTGCGCCTCACACCAGTCAGGTAGGTGTGTGTTCGCACATGTGAACATATGAACATTTTCTCAAGCCTTATACTAAAAGACCTCTCTCTCTCCTCTCCTCTCCTCTCCACCTCTCTCTTTCTTCCCTCCTCCACCTCTCCCTATAGGTTCCCCAGGTAGTAGTGACCTCCGAGTGTAACCTACCCAGAGATTCCAGTGGTGATATAGACTACAACAGTCTGGTCCAGCTCCTCAGAGACACCCACAGTCTACCAGACCAGGCTGACATACTGTACATCCTCTTCAAAGACAAGTCAGATTCTCTTCTATCTCTTTCTTTCTTTGGTGGTTGTTTTTCTGTCAGTCTGTCTGTCTGTCTTTGAATTATTTATTTCATCCCTCCATCCTTCTCTGCCGACACTTAAAAACTGACTTGCTTTGAATTGAACCTGAGAATTTTCAAGAATGCGTGTGTGTGCCCGTGTGTGCCCGTGTGTGCCCGTGTGTGCCCGTGTGTGTGTGTGTGTGTGTGTGTGTATATGTATCTGTCCACTAGGGGTATGGAGTGGGACACCAGGCTACATGGTAAAGGCTGTACGGTCCGCTCCCTGCTGACAGACCTGTATGTGAAGGCAGGCGACCTCAAACATTGGGGACTCATACGCATGATCTCTGGAATACTGAGGAAGAAAGTAGAGGAACTCGACTGGGTAAATATATAAACACACACACTGTTCAGTCTCTTGGCCTGCTGCCAAACTTTTCATTGGTTGATTAGTGCAGGCCTATTGTGATTGGTTGCTAGGTGTTAGCAGGCATGTTTTGATTGGTTGCTAGGTGTCAGCAGGCATGTTTTGATTGGTTGCTAGGTGTCAGCAGGCCTGTTTTGATCGGGATGATGAATGTATACTTGTTTTTGATTAGTTGCTGTGTGTCCCCAGGCCTGCTCTGATTTGTTGGCCCACCAGAAGCACCTGACTGTGGGTCTGCCTCCAGAACCTCGGGAGAAGACCATCACAGCGTCAGTTTACTTCCTATACATCCTATGCATCCGATGCATCCTAAATGGTACCCTATTCCCTATGTAGTGCACTACTTTTGACCAGAGAATGGTACCCTATTCCCTATGTAGTGCACTACTTTTGACCAGAGACTCTGAGTGATGGTTTTTACTTCAATATCCTGAAAGTGACCTCATCCTACATCGGGGTCAGTCCCCTTTTTGAATGGGCTTGACGATTATATAATAACATTAGTGAAAACGCAGACATTTAATATGTCCCCCCAAATTTTTTTTTACAAATTTACCACTAGACTTTTATGACGTTTTTTTGCTAAAAGACCATTGAGCCACATTCTTGACAATTGAACACCATTCAAAAAGCTTACAAAAGTTAAAAGACGTATTGAACCCTTTAAAGGTGCACTATGCAGAAACCGCTCTGCCATTTCCTGGTTGCTAAAATTCTAATAGTTTGCCTAATTTCAGTTTATGTGACTAAACAAACAGGGCTCCCTTGAAAAATACAGAAGATATCTGTTGGTTAAATATTTTAAAAGGATACATGGTTGTCATGTTTAGTATAAAAATAAATAAAAACATATATAAATACATTATCTCTCTCTCTCTCTCTCTTAATCTCTCTCACTCTCTTTTTATCTCTCTCTTCATCTCTCTCTCTCTCTTTCTTTCTGTCTCTCTCTCTGTCTCTCTCTCTGTCTCTCTCTCTGTCTCTCTCTCTATCTCTCTGTCTCTCTCTCTTTCTTTCTGTCTCTCTCTCTGTCTCTCTCTCTGTCTCTCTCTCTGTCTCTATCTCTCTCTCTCTCTCTCTTTCTTTCTGTCTCTCTCTCTCTCTGTCTCTCTCTCTCTCTCTCTCTCTCTCTCTCTCTCTCTCTCTCTCTGTCTCTCTCTCTCTGTCTCTGTCTCTGTCTCTGTCTCTGTCTCTGTCTCTGTGTCTCTCTCTCTCTGTGTGTCGGTCTCTTTCTCTCTCTGTCTCTCAGGCCCATCCCTCCAGACAAGCTGGCCAAGCTGATAGATGAAGCTAGTGAGAACAACATCACTATAGCCATCCTCACACAGGTACACACACACGCGCACTCACTCATTTGGACAAGCGTTCCATTTCAAACTACCTCCCTCTCTCTTGCGTTTGTGTGTGAAACAGGAGATCATGGTGTACCTGGCAATGAACATGCGTACCCAACCCAGCCTGTTCAGTGAGATGTTCAGGCTGCGTATCGGACTCATCATCCAGGTGATGGCCACTGAGCTGGCACAGTCTCTCAACTGCTCAGGTAATAACAAGAACAGTAATATTAATAGTAGCAGTAAGTTGGACACAGAGCTGGCACAGTCTCTCAACCTCATAATAATTAGAAAAGGACATTCCCTAAAATAAAAAGGGTTTTATTATTTTTGGCCCTACAGTGAAGTAGGAACTAGTGTCAGACATCCTGTAACCAATCACAAATTGAATACATTATTTTATGTGAAATTGTATGCGTTTCATATTTAGTGTGTGTATTTGTGTGTGTGTGTTTTGTGCCCTGTAGGAGAGGAGGCTACAGAGAGCCTGATGAGTCTGAGTCCGTCAGAATTAAAGATCCTGCTGCATCACATCCTCAGTGGGAAGGAGTTTGGAGTGCAGAGGAGCGGTATGACGCCTCTACGAACTGTTATGACATCCCTATGAACTGTTATGACATCCCTATGAACATCCTTTATGAGCAGTTATTAGATTGCTATGAACTCTTTATGTTACATATAATATACTATACACACACACACATTATGACATCCCTGTATGTGGTATCCTATGTTTATTGTATGTGTTCCAGTGCGTTCCGTAGACGCCGGCGCCAGTCCTGCCATCTCTATCCACGAGGTGGGCAATGTGGGCGCCACCAAGAGCGAGAGGGCGGGCATCAGCAAGCTGAAGAGCGACATGAGGATGGTACGTATTAAAGGGGCAATCTGGAGTTGAAACAGCAACAAAGTGTTTACCCTGCCACTTTTTTTGGTAAACGTGTGAGGAATGGAGCTGGAGAAATGTAACAATTTTCAAAATGTATAGACGGAGCTATGGATGCAACTTTTAATATAGTTTTAATTGTAGTGTGTTTATCATTCCTACTAATTTGTTATTTTACCTGGTCAAAATAAGCAAACTAAAACTGAACTAAAACCAATTGGCTGGGAGTACATGATATCACAGGTCTGTTGGCTTTTAAAGATGGATTATGTAACTTTTTGGGTGACCTGACCAAATTCACATAGAAAGCAAGTGTAAGAAATGTAATATATGTGTGTATATACATATATATATATATACAGTGGGGAGAACAAGTATTTGATACACTGCCGATTTTGCAGGTTTTCCTACTTACAGAGCATGTAGAGGTCTGTAATTTTTATCATAGGTACACTTCAACTGTGAGAGACGGAATCTAAAACAAAAATCCAGAAAATCACATTGTATGATTTTTAAGTAATTTGTTTGCATTTTATTGCATGACATAAGTATTTGATCACCTACCAACCAGTAAGAATTCCGGCTCTCACAGACCTGTTAGTTTTTCTTTAAGAAGCCCTCCTCTTCTCCACTCATTACCTGTATTAACTGCACCTATTACCTGTATTAACTGCACCTGTTTGAACTCGTTACCTGTATAAAAGACACCTGTCCACACACTCAATCAAACAGACTCCAACCTCTCCACAATGGCCAAGACCAGAGAGCTGTGTAAGGACATCAGGGATGAAATTGTAGACCTGCACAAGGCTGGGATGGGCTACAGGACAATAGGCAAGCAGCTTGGTGAGAAGGCAACAACTGTTGGCGCAATTATTAGAAAATGGAAGAAGTTCAAGATGACGGTCAATCACCCTCGGTCTGGGGCTCCATGCAAGATCTCACCTCGTGGGGCATCAATGATCATGAGGAAGGTGAGGGATCAGCCCAGAACTACACGGCAGGACCTGGTCAATGACCTGAAGAGAGCTGGGACCACAGTCTCAAAGAAAACCATTAGTAACACACTACGCCGTCATGGATTAAAATCCTGCAGCGCACGCAAGGTCCCCATGCTCAAGCCAGCGCATGTCCAGGCCCGTCTGAAGTTTGCCAATGACCATCTGGATGATCCAGAGGAGGAATGGGAGAAGGTCATGTGGTCTGATGAGACAAAAGTAGAGCTTTTTGGTCTAAACTCCACTCGCCGTGTTTGGAGGAGGAAGAAGAAGGATGAGTACAACCCCAAGAACACCATCCCAACCGTGAAGCATGGAGGTGGAAACATCATTCTTTGGGGATGCTTTTCTGCAAAGGGGACAGGACGACTGCACCGTATTGAGGGGAGGATGGATGGGGCCATGTATCGCGAGATCTTGGCCAACAACCTCCTTCCCTCAGTAAGAGCATTGAAGATGGGTCGTGGCTGGGTCTTCCAGCATGACAACGACCCGAAACATACAGCCAGGGCAACTAAGGAGTGGCTCCGTAAGAAGCATCTCAAGGTCCTGGAGTGGCCTAGCCAGTCTCCAGACCTGAACCCAATAGAAAATCTTTGGAGGGAGCTGAATGTCCGTATTGCCCAGCGACAGCCCCGAAACCTGAAGGATCTGGAGAAGGTCTGTATGGAGGAGTGGGCCAAAATCCCTGCTGCAGTGTGTGCAAACCTGGTCAAGACCTACAGGAAACGTATGATCTCTGTAATTGCAAACAAAGGTTTTTGTACCAAATATTAAATTCTGCTTTTCTGATGTATCAAATACTTATGTCATGCAATAAAATGCAAATGAATTACTTAAAAATCATACAATGTGATTTTCTGGATTTTAGATTCCGTCTCTCACAGTTGAAGTGTACCTATGATAAAAATTACAAACCTCTACATGCTTTGTAAGTAGGAAAACCTGCAAAATCGGCAGTGTATCAAATACTTGTTCTCCCCACTATATATATATATATATATATATATATATATATATATATATATATATATATATATATATATATATATATACACACACAGTGGGGGGGAAAAGTATTTAGTCAGCCACCAATTGTGCAAGTTCTCCCAGAGGCCTGTAATTTTCATCATAGGTACACGTCAACTATGACAGACAAAATGAGAAAAGAAAATCCAGAAAATCACATTGTAGGATTTTTAAAGAATTTATTTGCAAATTATGGTGGAAAATAAGTATTTGGTCAATAACAAAGTTTCTCAATACTTTGTTATATACCCTTTGTTGGCAATGACACAGGTCAAACATTTTCTGTAAGTCTTCACAAGGTTTTCACACACTGTTGCTGGTATTATTGGCCCATTCCTCCATGCAGATCTCCTCTAGAGCAGTGATGTTTTGGGGCTGTCGCTGGGCAACACGGACTTTCAACTCCCTCCAAAGATTTTCTATGGGGTTGAGATCTGGAGACTGGCTAGGCCACTCCAGGACCTTGAAATGCTTCTTACGAAGCCACTCCTTCGTTGCCCGGGCGGTGTGTTTTGGATCATTGTCATGCTGAAAGACCCAGCCACGTTTCATCTTCAATGCCCTTGCTGATGGAAGGAGGTTTTCACTCAAAATCTCACGATACATGGCCCCATTCATTCTTTCCTTTACACGGATCAGTCGTCCTGGTCCCTTTGCAGAAAAACAGCCCCAAAGCATGATGTTTCCACCCCCATGCTTCACAGTAGGTATGGTGTTCTTTGGATGCAACTCAGCATTCTTTGTCCTCCAAACACGACGAGTTGAGTTTTTACCAAAAAGTTCTATTTTGGTTTCATCTGACCATATGACATTCTCCCAATCCTCTTCTGGATCATCCAAATGCACTCTAGCAAACTTCAGACGGGCCTGGACATGTACTGGCTTAAGCAGGGGGACACGTCTGGCACTGCAGGATTTGAGTCCCTGGCGGCGTAGTGTGTTACTGATGGTAGGCTTTGTTACTTTGGTCCCAGCTCTCTGCAGGTCATTCACTAGGTCCCCCCGTGTGGTTCTGGGATTTTTGCTCACCGTTCTTGTGATCATTTTGACCCCACGGGGTGAGATCTTGCGTGGAGCCCCAGATCGAGGGAGATTATCAGTGGTCTTGTATGTCTTCCATTTCCTAATAATTGCTCCCTCAGTTGATTTCTTCAAACCAAGCTGCTTACCTATTGCAGATTCAGTCTTCCCAGCCTGGTGCAGGTCTACCATTTTGTTTCTGGTGTCCTTTGACAGCTCTTTGGTCTTGGCCATAGTGGAGTTTGGAGTGTGACTGTTTGAGGTTGTGGACAGGTGTCTTTTATACTGATAACAAGTTCAAACAGGTGCCATTAATACAGGTAACGAGTGGAGGACAGAGGAGCCTCTTAAAGAAGAAGTTACAGGTCTGTGAGAGCCAGAAATCTTGCTTGTTTGTAGGTGACCAAATACTTATTTTCCACCATAATTTGCAAATAAATTCATAAAAAATCCTACAATGTGATTTTCTGGAGAAAAAAAATCTCAAATTGTCTGTCAGACAAATTACAGGCCTCTCATCTTTTTAAGTGGGAGAACTTGCACAATTGGTGGCTGACTAAATACTTTTCCCCCCCACTGTGTGTGTATATATATATATATATATATATATATATATATATATATATTTATATAACATGGGGGATTGGAAGTGATGCAGACAATTACATTGATGGAAGTTACAATCTATCTGCAATATTAAGCTGATTTACCCCCTAAAAAAATAAAAATAAAAAAGTCTCTAAGAATCGGTAGATATGTTCTTAAGTTTCGCTTTTGCATCTTTTACTTTCGTTTTTTTGTACACTTTTGTACACTTCAAACAGCTGAAAACACAATATTTGTAGTTATGGAAAATATATTTCACAGCGGTTTAAATGGTACAATGATTCTCTACACTATACTTGCTTATTTTGTCACATAAACTGAAATTAGAATTTTAGCAACCAGGAAATGGCGGAGCGATTTCTGCATAGTGCACCTTTTTAAAGGATTCAATACGTGAAAGTGACACGTCATTTAGCTTTTGTAGACTTTTTGAATGGTGTTCAATCGTCAAGAACGTAGCCCAATGGTCTTCAGCAAAAAAAACTTCATAAAAGGCATGTGGTAAATTTGTCCACAAACACAAATATAATTTTATACATACTAAATGACCGCATTTTCATGAATTGTATTATATAATCGTCAAGCCCATTCAAAAGGGGACTGACCCCGATGTAGGATGATGTCACTTTCAGGGTATTGAAGTAAAAACCATCGTTTATGACACTACAGACCAAGTACCAACAGTATCTAGACTGTTCTCCTCTCCAGAGCTTGTCACTCAGTCATCTTTCCATTTTCAGTTGGAGGAGCTCAGGTTGTCATGGTCGCAGCAGAGACAGGTGATGATGATGATGATGACTTTTTTCTTGTTACAGGGTGTTAATTCACTTGGGCACTGTCAGCAGTTTGCATGCAAAAGTCACCTAAAAACATTTTAATTGTGGTCAAAAACCACGTCGTGGTTCATTTGTGGTCAATAATGGGGGAATCCACTGGATCCAGGGTTCTTATATGTTATCGCCATGGTAATAGGGCAGTCTCTATGGTGATGACTAAGGTGGTCGGTTGGCACGGTGATTTTGAACGTAGTTGTTCACCCTAACACACACACACACACTGTTCACACTGGCTGTTCTCATGTTGTGAATCCTCTCTCCCCTCCTCAGAGCCTAACTCCACATTCACTGGACATGGAACACATTGAATCTGGGGTAAGAGTTAAAAGACATCTTAGAACACAAACTTTACTTTCAAATTTAATCGCTTTTCCAGTTTACATCCTACTGTCATTGTAATGCCATAGCAAAATTGCCATTTTGCAGTTGAAATGGAAAATCTCTTGTTGGCTTAACTTGATATGTAAACGGTATGTACATTTGATGTCTCTATCAGAGGTACATCCTCCCGCCCATAGGGTATATATTTGCATGTATGTATTTATATGTATTGTATAGGTCTCTCATCCATAGGATATATATGTATGCATATATTTGTATTGTAGCGAATTTGGTGGGTAGCCCCGACCGGGACTCGAACCGGGGTCAAGCGATTGTCAAGCCAACACCTTAAACATTACGCCAAGAGGGCCAAACCTCTTGACGAGGTCGCTAGGTGTTGGGTTAAGGTCGATACAGTATGTAGCATATATATATATATATATATATACACATACAGTACCAGTCAAAAGTTTGGACACACCTACTCATTCAAGGGTTTTCTTTATTTTTACTATTTTCTACATTGTAGAATAATAGTGAAGACATCAAAACTATGAAATAACACATATGGAATCATGTAGTAACCAAAAAAGTGTTAAACAAATCAAAATATATTTTATATTTGAGATTCTTCAAATAGCCACCCTTTGCCTTGATGACAGCTTTGCACACTCTTGGCATTCTCTCAACCAGCTTCACCTGGAATGCTTTTCCAACAGTCTTGAAGGAGTTACCACATATGCTGAGCACTTGTTGGCTGCTTTTCCTTCAGTCTGCCATCCGACTCATCCCAAACCATCTCAATTGGGTTGAGGTTGGGGGATTGTGGAGGCCAGGTCATCTGATGCAGCACTCCATCACTCTCCTTCTTGGTAAAATAGCCCTTACACAGCCTGGAGGTGTGTTGGGTCATTGTCGTGTTGAAAAACAAATGATAGTCCCACTAAGTCCAAACCAGATGGGATGGTGTATCGCTGCAGAATGCTGTGGTAGCCATGCTGGTTAAGTGTGCCTTGAATTCTAAATAAATCACAGTGTCACCAGCAAAGCACCCCCACTCCATAACACCTCCTCCTCCATGCTTTAAGGTGGGAACTACACATGCGGAGATCATCCGTTCACCCACACCGCGTCTCACAAAGACACGCCGTTTGGAAACAAAAATCTACAATTTCCACCGGTCTAATGTCCATTGCTCGTGTTTCTTGGCCCAAGCAGGTCTTTTCTTCTTATTGGTAACCTTTAGTAGTGGTTTCTTTGCAGCAATTCGACCATGAAGGCCTGATTCACACAGTCCCCTCTGAACAGTTGATATTGAGATGTGTCTGTGACTTGAACTCTGTGAAGCATTTAATGGGCTGCAATTTCTGAGGCTGGTAACTCTAATGAACTTATCCTTTGCAGCAGAGGTAACCCTGGGTCTTCCGTTCCTGTGGCAGTCCTCATGAGATCCAGTTTCATCATAGCGCTTAATGGTTTTTGCGACTGCACTTGAAGAAACGTTAAAAGTTCTTGAAATTGTCCGTATTGACTGACCTTCATGTCTTAAAGTAATGATGAACTGTTGTTTCTCTTTGCTTATTTGAGCTGTTCTTGCCATAATATGGACTTTGTCTTTTACCAAATAGGGCTATCTTCTGTATACCCCCCCCTACCTTGTCACAACACAACTGATTGGCTCAAATGCATTAAGAAGGAAATACATTCCACAAATTAACTTTTAAGAAGGCACACCTGTTAATTGAAATGGATTCCAGGTGACTACCTCATGAAGCTGGTTGAGAGAATGTCAAGCGTGTGCAAAACTGTCATCAAAGCAAAGGGTGTATATTTGAAGAATCTCAAATATAAATATATTTTGATTTGTTTAACACTTTTTTGGTTACTACATGATTCCATATGTATTATTTCATAGTTTTGATGTCTTCACTATTATTCTACAATGTAAAAATAGTACAAATAAAGAAGAACCCTTGAATGAGTAGGTGTGTCCAAACTTTTGACTGGTACTGTGTGTGTGTGTGTGTGTGTGTGTGTGTGTGTGTGTGTAAATATATGTTTCTGTCACAGAGGTACAAGCTCCCCTCCATAGAGTCTCTGGATGTTCCAGTGAGCACGCCCGTCGTCAAGGATACGAGGCACGGCCAATGGCTGCGTAGGAGACGTCTGGACGGAGCACTCAACAGAGTCCCCATAGGCTTCTATCAGAAGGTCTGGAAGATTCTACAGAAGGTCTGTACTTACCTTGCAACATATATATATACAGGGGCGGTGTGTTCATTAGGGCGATATGGGCGACGCACTGCCAAACGGGAAAAGGAAGGGATTTTTTTTCTAATCAATTATATCACGGCAACAGTAGTTATCAGTGTTCTAATCTAGACGTCTGATCTGCCACTAAATGTCCAATCAGGCTAAAGTCGTGCTTCAAATGGCCCCGCCCCTTTTGGGGCGATTTCAGTCAGGTTGAAAATCGCCCCAGAAGTCTCTCATAGACTCTCATGTAAAATCTTTTTTTTTTCAAATATCAGAGCTTTCAATACAATCTCTATGGGTTCCGGGAGGGCTTGCACTTACGCGCTTTCGTCATACGTAACATAACCATGAACGTAACTAAGAAAAGAGCGGGTAGCAGCATCAATCAATTCACGTACTACTGTCAAGATGGCTAGCGTTCAGTGCAACTCGATTTGTCTCTTTGAAAGAAGTTCCTTTTTGTCGGCGAACAAATCAAGATAAATTGGCAACGAAACAATTAGGACCTCCCAGACCAAATTTAATAATTCAACAGGTTTCTACTAAAGGGGGAAAGTCCTACACCCGAGGATTTTCCAAAAATTGGTACGAACGAAAAACCTGGCTAGCAGGCTGCGATGTAGCTAATGCAGTCTTCTGCTACCCCTGCTTACTCTTTCACCCTGAAGGCGGCACGGCAGACAGCACCACTTGGACAGCGACTGGTGTAACGGACATGCACCATCTTTCAGAAAAGATTAAGAAACATGAGCTGTCAAAGACCCACATGGATAGCTGTTTGAGATTGTCTGCTTTGGGGAGAGTGAACATTGCCACTCAACTGGATGAGGGATACAGGCTAGCTGTCCGCCGCCACAACGATGAGGTTAGCAAGAACCGCCACATCCTCAGCCGGCTAATCCAGTGTGTGAAGTTTTGCGGAGTGTTTGAGTTAGCTTTGCGAGGCAAAGATGAAACGGAGGGCTCCACCAACCCTGGTATTTTTCTTGGACTTGTCAACTTTGTGGCACAATTAGATGAGGTGTTTTATGGAAATGCATATTGTTTATGCAGTGTTGAGGAATGTGAAAGAACACCCTTGATTATTTTTATTGTGATAACTTATTTTGCTTTTGTAAGCCAACACTTTTGAGATCAGTCAATAAATGCTTCTGGTATTGACTTATATGCTGCCCCTGTCTTCATGTTGTTGCTGGACATATCTTTTTTTAAATGTGTGTAGGTCACCTAAATCATCAGAAAAATTGCCCCCCCTGAGAATTTTTTCAGGAGCCGCCACTGTATATATATATATATATTTCGCATAAGTATATATAGTTTAGTATAACAGTGTATATATAGTTTAGTATAATTAAGTAATAAGGCCCGAGGGGGTGTGGTATATGGCCAATATACCACGGTTAAGGGCTGTTCTTATGCACGACGCAACACGGAGTGCCTGGATACAGCCCTTAGCCGTGGTATATTGGCCATATACCACAAACCCCAGAGGAGCCTTATTGCTATTATAAACTGGTTATTATAGTATAACACTGTATATGTAGTGCAGTATTATAGTATAACACTGTATATGTAGTGCAGTATTATAGTATAACACTGTATATGTAGTGCAGTATAACAGTATATAGTTTAGTCTAACAACATGGTATAATGTGTATATATTATACTTTACCTTATAATATACAGGTAACTTCCAAAATAAAGGAAACACCAACATAAAGTGTCTTAATAGGGCGTTGGGCCAGAACAGCTTCAATGCGCCATGGCATGGATTCTATACACTATTGGAGGGATGCAACACCATTCTTCGCTGAGAAATTCCATCATTTGATGTTTTGTTGGTGGTGGTAAAAAAACGTTGTCTCAGGCACCGCTTTATAATCTCCAATAAGTGTTCAATTGGGTTGAGATCTGTTGACTGAGACGGCCATGGCATATGGTTTACGTTGTTTTCATGGTCATCAAACCATTCAGAGATCACTTGTGTCCTGTGGATGGTGGCCTTGTCATCCTATGGGGGTATAGCCATGGTAGCCAAAATAATGGCCTGCCCAGCATTTTTATCTATGACCCTAAGCATGATGGGATGTGAATTGCTTAATTAACTCAGGAACCACACCTGTGTCGAAGTACCTGCTTTCAATATAGTAGGTCCAGATTTTGACGAAACTTGGTTGAATTATGCATCTTGCCATGGAGATCCGGCATTAAAGAAATGACATTGATTGGGCCAAGGGGGGCGCTATAGTAATCAACAAATTAAATTCCAAACTTTGAAGAAGCATATCCCCTGTCCCGTTTGATCTAGAATTGTTGTCTCTAATTGGCCCAAGGGAGGAGGGGCGCTGCATCATTCATGTTTAATGTTGCCTTGTATAGTTCTAGTATTAGAGTGCCCATGTAGGGTTCTACCAAATATAGTATTATATATACAGTGCATTCGGAAAGTATTCAGACAGCTTGACTTTTTCCTCATTTTGTTACGTCACAGCCTTATTCTAAGTAAGGTATTTGTGTTTTTTATTTGTAATAAATGTGTAAAACTTTCTACAAACCTGTTTTCGCTTTGTCATTATGGGGTATTGTGTGTAGATTGAGGAACGTTTTCAATTTAATCCATTTTAGAATAAGGCTGTAACATAACAGAATGTGGAGAAAGTCAAGGGGTCTGAATACTTTCCGAATGCACTGTATAATATTAATATAATATTGAGTATAGTAATAGTATTATATTAATATAGTATTGAATAGTATATTAATAGTATTATATATGATATTAATATAGTATTGAATAGAGTATAGTATTATATTGAATGTTAATATAGTATAGTAATTGTATTATGTATACTATTAGTATAGTAATAGTATTTTAACCCAGGTCTGATTCTAACCCATTCATTCATTAAAGGGATTGTTTTTCCTTGCAGTGTCATGGTCTGTCCATAGAAGGATTTGTTCTACCATCTTCAACAACAAGGGAGGTAAGGCGGGCCTTCACAGCGCTCATTAGAAATTCCTCTAATGTTGAGAAATTATGTACAAAAAAAGATGATGACTACTGATCATGCATTGGAATCCTTTTCTATTCAGACAACTGTACTTCCTGACTTCAGAATGTGTCTCTCTCCAACTCCCCCTCTCTCTCATCCCACCTCGCCCCACCCCACCCCACCCCACCCCACCCCAGATGACTATAGATGAGATCAAGTTTGCTGTGCACGTGGAGACAGTGCTGAATCGGGTGCCCCAGCCAGAGTACCGCCAGCTGCTGGTGGAGGCCATCTTAGTTCTCACCATGCTGGCAGACGTGGACATAGACAGCGTGGGCAGCATCATCCACGTGGAGAAGATCGTCCACATCGCCAACGACATGTTTTACCACGACCAGGTGGGTGGGCTCGCATTTGTTTGTTCTACTATGAACAGGTGGGTTCTGTTCTTTTTTCTACCAGCACTAGATGTATCTCTCTGTCTGTCTGTCTGTCTGTCTGTCTGTCTGTCTCTGTCTGTCTCTGTCTGTCTGTCTGTCTGTCTGTCTGTGTCATTCATTCATTCATTCATTCATTAAAGACCCTCCCTCCCCCCTCTACAGAAGGACTTGGGAGCAGAGGAGCACATATTAGAAAGGGACCCCTCCACAGGAGTTTGTCGCCTGCTGTACGACAGCGCCCCTAGTGGACGTTTTGGCAGTATGACATACCTCACCAAGGCTGTGGCTGTCTACGTACAGGACTTTCTGCCCAGCGGCGCCTGTGCCCTGCAGTAGACACACACACGTGCGGGCCGTGTCAGAATACCCATACTTGGTTCACATTTAATAGTAGGCTTTTTGGGTATGTGAAAATATAACATTTTATATTATTAGACATTTTGAATATTTGGAGTATCTTTTAAATGCCAGCATGTCATACTCATTTTGGCCTTTCATCTAGTAGAATTCACTGCACACTATTGAGGAAGAGAAGTGTCTTTTCACACCCACTTGTTTGACAACAGCTGAAAATCAGAATAGGGGATGTGCTCTCCAAAAATGAACGAATGGCGGAACAAGCCCTATTGCGCATTAGATAAGCAGTATGTTGATATTTGTTGCTCACTGCATACGTTTTTACTAAACAGTACTTCTGAATAGTATGTAGTACCATTAGTATACAGTATGTAGTACCATTTAGTATACAGTATGTAGTTTTAGTAAGTAGGAGGCGAGACAATTTCAGACATACACACACACACACACACACACACACACACACACACACACACGTACACGTACATGTACATGTAAACGCTTAAACACACACACACACACACACACACCCACACACACACACACGTACATGTAAACGCTTAAACACACACACACACACACACACGTACATGTAAACGCTTAAACACACACACACACACACACACACACACACATGTCTGATCTGACTGTTAGACAAAAAAAGCATTTAGTTTAGAGGTCATTGGGTCAAAATGTATTATTTTGTTTGGCCAGCCTGGCAGATATTTGCATCCAACATGGACAACACAGTGTCTTTATTTGGTGAGACATGACATTGTTTCCTTAATGACACCCTATTACATATATATATATATATATATATATATATATATATATATAGTGTACTACTTTGACCGGGCCCCTTAGGGTCCTGTAATTGCAAACTATTACTCGATAACTAGTAATTGATAACCAGTCATCGATAACTAGTAATTGATAACCAGTCATTGATAACTAGTAAGTAACTGATATCTAATAACTGATAACTAGAAAGTAACTGGTACCTAATAACTGATAACTAGTCATTGATAACTAGTAATTGATAACCAGTCATCAATAACTAGTAATTGATAACTAGTAAGTAACTGATTACCAGTCATCGATAACTAGTCATGGATAACTATAAGGGGGTTATCATGGGCAGTTTACAGTTATTTGATTTGTTGAGATGTCTTGACTACCAAGAATAATAATTATACTAATTTATAATCTTCTGATAGTTCTGATATGTGACCTCAATTTGATAGATGTTGTAACTCAGTGTTTCCTAATACTGGTCCTGGGGACCCAAAAGGGTGCAAATCTTTAGTTTTTTGCACTTTGCACTAACACACTTGACCGATTTTTTTTATTTGAGTGAGGTGTGTTAGTGTTAGGACAATAACTCAAATGTGCACGTTGGGGTCCCCAGGACCAGGATTGGAAAACACTGTTGAAGCTGATGATGACTGGGTTGTATAAAAGTCAGAATGTTTTTCTTGAGAACACGTTTAGTTTTAATGCCAGTGTGCGTTTTTGGGAGGTTTTGTTCCTTTACCTCAAAAGCCGCTGTATTATGAAGGTGCTGTGTTGTTTTGGTGGTTTTCAGAGTTGCTGTTTTATGTTTTAATAATATACCAGGTAAAAAATACAACATAATATGCAAGAAGAGGACAATGTAGATTTGATATGTTACTTAACTTGAGAAATGTTTTCTTTTTGTGATTTATTTTTATTTTTACAAGCCTAACTTTTTTTTTTAAATAAAGGTTAAGTTAAATGAATGTAATTGGCTTTGCAAGTGTTAGATGGGATTAAACGTGAGCCAACACAACAAACGGTATTGAATGTAACTAAAGGGGTGTCCCCCAAATGCCACCTTGTTCCCTACGTAGTGCACAACACTATACACAGAGTGTACAAAACATTAGGAACACCTGCTCTTTCCATGACATAGACTGACCAGGTGAATCCAGGTGGAAGCTATGATCCCTTATTGATGTCACTTGATAAATCCACTTCAAATCAGTGTAGATGAAGGGTAGGAGACAGGTTTAAAGAAGGATTTTTTTGAGACAATTGAGACATGGTATGGATTGAGTATGTGTGCCTTTCAGAGGGTGAACTGTGGGAAGCATTGGGGTCAACATGGGCCAGTATCCCTGTACAACTCAATCGACACCTTGTAGAGTCCATACCTCAACTATTTTTTTTTTTTTGGGGGGGGCAAGTCAATATTAGGAAGGTGTTTTATTAATATTTTGTACACTGTGTATATACATTACACTATATAGCTCGGGAATGGGGTGCCATTTTAGGGGTGCAACAAACTCAAAGGTCTGTTTTTACTCGCATTTAAAAAGTGCAATTTGGATTGGAATAGAATCCTCCACAAAAAAAAAAAAGGGGACAAGTGATTGGCACCTTGGCGAGTTTAATAGTTTGTAAAAAATTAAATATACATGTTCACAGTAGATGGTGGTAACCTCAATGTCATTGACAACTGAAAGGTTTTACTGACAATGAAATAAATCATCTAGGTGGAATATTAAAGTTTTTTTGTGAAGAAGCCATTGCAGTGTAATTTGTTCATAGTCACAGTTACTGATGTATGTAAACCAGGAACCGTTGTACTCCCGAGTGGCGCAGTGGTCTAAGGCACTGCATCGGCAGTGCTAACTGTGCCACTAGAGATCCTGGTTCGAATCCAGGCTCTGTCGCAGCCGGCCGCGACCGGGAGACTCATGGGCGGTGCACAATTGGCCCAGCGTCGTCCAGGGTAGGGGGAGGGAATGGCCGGCAGGGATGTAGCTCAGTTGATAGAGCATGGCGTTTGCAACGCCAGGGTTGTGGGTTCAATTCCCACGGGGGGCCAGTATAAAAAAATATGTATTCACTAACTGTAAGTCGCTCTGGATAAGAGCGTCTGCTAAATGACTAAAATGTAAAATGTAATGTCTGATTATCAGTGGTGTAGTGGAGGGTAAATAGCATGAGCGTTTACCCATATTTCACAGAAAAATGCATTGAAAATACAGGGACCCATTACTTGATTCACCACTTACAGCATTACCCACCTGTTTTTTTTTTTTTACCACTGCATCACTGCTCATTCTGTAGTGCAGGGGTGTCAAACTGAAGGAAACTGTAATCCATGGTTCGGTTTTCACTAAACGGCCACTACAAACATATGCTAGCTAACAACCAATAGAAGGGAATCGGGTATGTGACCAAAATGTCAAATCAACTTCATATTTGGTTTGATGTCATTTACAGGTGTTTTGGCCATTTTAAAGAAAAACATGCACACAAGCCCCATTCACTTTGACTGATTGTTAGCTAGTGGAGGCTAAAGTAGGCGTACTCTCACTGGACACAGCAGGTCTGATGAAGCATTAGAGATGTGGTATTCTACTTCCTAAACTCACTTCTAAAAGATGTTTGGGCTAAGGCTCACAAACGTTTTTATATATATATATACAGTCATGGCCAAAATTGTTGGCACCCCTGAAATTTTTCCAGAAAATGAAGTATTTCTCACAGAAAAGTATTGAAATTACACATGTTTTGCTATGCACATGTTTATTTCCTTTGTGTGTATTGGAATAACACAAAAAAAACAGGAAAAAAGCAAATTTGACATAATTTCACACAAAACTCAAAAAATGGGCCGGACAAAATGATTGGCACCCTTAACTTAATATTTAGTTGCACACCCTTTGGAAAAAATAACTGAAATCAGTCGCTTCCTATAACCATCAATAAGCTTCTTACACCTCTCACCCGGAATTTTGGACCACTCTTCTTTTGCAAACTGCTCCAGGTCTCTCATATTGGATGGGTGCCTTTTCCCAACAGCAATTTTAAGATCTCTCCACAGGTGTTCAATGGGATTAAGATCTGGACTCATTGCTGGCCACTTCAGAACTCTCCAGCGCTTTGTTGCCATCCATTTCTGGGTGCTTTTTGAAGTATGTTTGGGGTCATTGTCCTGCTGGAAGACCCATGATCTCGGACGCAAACCCAGCTTTCTGACACTGGGCCCTACATTGCGACCCAAAATCCTTTGGTAATCCTCAGATTTCATGATGCCTTGCACACAGTCAAGGCACCCAGTGCCAGAGGCAGCAAAACAACCCCAAAACATCTTTGAACCTCCACCATATTTGACTGTAGGTACTGTGTTCTTTTCTTTGAAGGCTTCATTACATTTTCGGTAAACAGTAGAACGATGTGCTTTACCAAAAAGCTCTATCTTGGTCTCATCTGTCCATAAGACGTTCTCCCAGAAGGAATTTGGCTTACTCATGTACATTTTGGCAAACTGTAGTCTTGCTTTTTTATGTCTCTGTGTCAGCAGTGGGGTCCTCCTGGGTCTCCTGCCATAGCGTTTCATTTCATTCAAATTTCGACGTATAGTTCGCGCTGACACTGATGCACCCTGAGCCTGCAGGACAGCTTGAATTTCTTTGGAACTTGTTTGGGGCTGCTTATCCACCATCCGGACTATCCTGCGTTGCAACCTTTCATCAATTTTTCTCTTCCGTCCACGTCCAGGGAGATTAGCTACAGTGCCATGGGTTGCAAACTTCTTGATCATGTTGCGCACTGTGGACAAAGGAACATCTAGATCTCTGGAGATGGACTTGTAACCTTGAGATTGTTGATATTTTTCCACAATTTTGGTTCTCAAGTCCTCAGACAGTTCTCTTTTCCTCTTTCTGTTCTCCATGCTTAGTGTGGCACACACAGAAACACAATGCAAAGACTGAGTCAACTTCTCTCCTTTTTATCTGCTTTCAGGTGTGATTTTTAGATTGCCCACACCTGTTACTTGCCCCAGGTGAGTTTAAAGGAGCATCACATGCTTGGAACAAACTTATTTATCCACAATTTTGAAAGGGTGCCAATAACTTTGTCCGGCCCATTTTTTTAGTTTTGTGTGAAATTATGTCAAATTTGCTTTTTTCCTGTTTTTTTTTGTGTTATTCCAATACACACAAAGGAAATAAACATGTGCATAGCAAAACATGTGTAATTTCAATACTTTTCTGTGAGAAATACTTCATTTTCTGGAAAAATTTCAGGGGTGCCAACAATTTTGGCCATGACTGTATATCTCAATCATAAAACAGGATTGTCTAATCACATCTTACATAATCATACAAAAGTATCTATATCCACAGTAAAACGAGTCCTATAATCGACATAACCTGAAAGGCCGCTCAGCAAGGAAGGAGCCACTGCTCCAAAACCGCCATAAAAAAGCCAGATTACGGTTTGCAACTGAAAATGGGGGCAAAGATCGTACTTTTTGGAGAAATGTCCTCTGGTCTGATGAAACAAAAATAGAACTGTTTGGCCA